AACCCAATAAGATAAGTTCACAACTCTAGCATATTGATATTCCACAGTACCTTCCCGAAACATTTGATCGGTATCATCTAGACCCCTAGCCTTCAGTTCCTTGTCCAGTAGACTGAAAAGTGTCCCCTGTGTGACTTTGCCATCCTTCTTCTTTTGCTGTTTAGTCGTCCATAATGTGTTCCCTGGGTTCCAGTCCGATAAAGGATACATGCCAGCAAATTCCCAATCCAAAATCCCAGTGATTTTCTGGATCTTCCTGTCCCATAACAAGTTTCCCAATACCAAATCCCGATGGGCGAGGAAAGGCTTCGCGTTATGAACACTTTCAGGTATATCAGGAAGTGCCTTTAGTTTTTCAAGATATTTTGTCCGTAGTTCTTCACAATGTTTGTGTTTTTCGATAATCCGTATGTCCCTTGAGATTCTTGCCTTCCAGTATTCTGCAAGGCTATTAAACGGTGTTGTAAGGTTTAGCGTTTCGTAAGTTTCGTCCGGGTACGTCGACCAATGCTGCTTGATGTGACTGAGAGAATACGTTGTGCATTCCACGTAAGGTCCTGGCTTGAATTCTGGGGTGAAACCACCAAACCATCTCTGTGGAAGTTTCGAAGTGAGGCTCCGGATTTCCTGTACGACGTCTACAACTGCTGTCACCAAGGTGGATGGCTCTATATCCTCCCATATGTCACAAAGTGTTTCACCTGGGAGCTTTTCGATAACTGTATATTCATGACCCAGTTCATTTGTAGTATCACTGAAAAATAGAAGTTTAGGAATCCTCTTGTTGAAGGATGGTGGTGCGTGCTGGTGGAAATACTGGAGCCAACCGACTTCGTTTCTGGTTTTGACAAATGGGTGGGAGGGATGTGACAATCTGACGAAAAATTCGTTACATGTGAAGCCAGCAGGTGTTGATGGCAGGGTTACGAAGTATAGATGGTTAAATAGCCCTTCGCTTTCTGGTGCTGAGATGTGGGAGGGTTTCTGAAAAGCCCTTTGCTCGAAGAGCTTGGAAATTTTGGGGAACAGATCAATGTGTGCAGTTGGCATAGTTAATAGCTTTAAGAATTTAAATCTAGTAGAAACTATATTTGTCTAAATCTAGAATTTGGTCGCATGCTAAGATCTCAGATTCGTTAAGCTCCACCTCTTTATAGAGGAGACATTGTATACACTACAAGGCGAACATGGATGGGGTACTGGTTGAACCGGCCAATAGGGGGGTAGATATATTGGATCTTGCGAAGGAAGAAAGACAATTGTAATACATCTTACTGGCTGCTTGACATTTCAGCATGCCGCCCGATCACAATTGGTCCCGTGCTAGTTTAAGTACTTGGATTGCCAGCCCTGAGCTCATGAAGCTTTGCGTTGCAAAAGTGACAGCGCTAACACCAGCCCCGGCCCCGGATATCGGAATTTCAAATGTGAACTAGCCATCGGCCTGCGCTGGACTCTGATTTGTCGGGTTAAAGTTGCTTCATGAAATTAGTGAAGTATGTACGGGGTATGTGATATTTAATCTAGGTAGTGCGAAATATCGTGGCTGGTAGTAAACATATCGGCTTCGCTAACTTTTCAAAATGTCCAGTTGAAGGACTCTTCAATCCTGAACAAAACGGCTCCTCTGTGATCATCAAACTTGATATTAGTACCCGTATCTTACTCGACCGATGACTCGGTTAATATTAGGGGTCTGAATTAACAGCTGCAGCTTACCTGATATCGTCAGAAGACGACCCAATTATAGCTTCGAATCCCCCCGCCTCAGCTATCCAGCCAGGTATTGACGTATCATAATATCCAACTGAGTAGAGGTCGATCACAATATTTGCAATTCCCGTTTCCCCAGGGCTTAAAGAGAGTTTTGAGAAACCTTGGAGTTCCTTTTCCGGCCTCGGAAGCCTCGCTTTGATATCTCGAATATATAGTTGAACGATTTCCTGGCCACTAACTTTGCCATTATTTGTCACCGGAACAGAAACCGTAAGGGTATTCGAATCACTGAGCACAGGCCCGCTAATTCCAACTTCTCCATAATGAAACTGTGTGTATGAGAGACCGTGCCCGAATGGAAATAATACATCGAGTGCAAGACGCTCGTAGTGTTTGTAACCAATGAATATGCCCTCCCCGTATACAACCTTCTTGTTTTCCCCAGGCCAGTTGTGGTACGCCGGATTGTCTTCCAAGCGCTTCGGGAATGTCACAGGAAGTTTTCCGCTCGGATTTTCGTTTCCGAAAAGTATATCTGCCAGAGCGTTTCCGGCTTCTTGTCCCTGATACCATGCTTGAAGAATAGCGGGGACTTCACTAACCCATGGCATTGTAACTGGAGAACCGGATTGGTTAACCACAATTGTTCTTTTGTTAGCTTTTGCCACAGCCGAAACCAATCTATCCTGGCTTCCGTCTTTTGGCAGATCCATGTTTTGGCGATCATATCCTTCAGATTCCCATTCAGCGTCGAGTCCAACAATAACAATAGCGGCATCGGCCTGGCTTGCTATCTCAACCGCTTCCTGAATAAGATCAACGACTGGACTTTCTCGATATCCAATCCGGCAGCCTCCGTATCCGTGGGTTGCGGCGCCCGCTTTGCCTACTGGACGGGTCTCGTTTGTGCTTTCGACAAGAATCTCGATTGGGACACCGGCATTTAAGTGAATTGAGGCCACAACCTCCACGGATGCCTCAAACATTGCTTCACCCGCTTCAGTCCAGTTCCAATTATCTATTAGAAGCTGTCCGTTGACAAATAACCGGCCCGGGCCAACGCTCTGGAATCCGAATTGGTGCTCTCCTGTCGTTTCTGGCACTACTGTGGTTTTAACTTTGAAGGAATAAGCAGGTAATACCTCGACTGGAGCCGAATCCCAAAGGAATAGATCAGTTTTAGCCCGAGTCTGTACTATTAGTGGGGAGTCACCGAATTTGTCTCCTTTGAAAAACTCCAGAACGGCACCGGGCTGGCCGGATGACGTTTTGCAGATATTCGAGGCCAGCGGAAGCCATTTATCGATTTGTGCACCTTGAGCAAATAGAATTTCTCGTCCAGACACTGCAGTTATACTGTCGTAGGGTGTAGTGTTATAATACGGTTTTAAACTAGCGCTCCCACCACCTCCAGCGACTGCTCGTTTGACGTTTGGTCCTATTAGGGCAACCTTTTTGATTTCGGGTCCGAGTGGTAAAGTTCCATTTTCATTCTTTAGAAGTGTAATTCCCTCGACACCAGCCTTCCGAATAAGCTGCTTGGTTTCACTTGTGTCAAGAGTTTTTTCCCCAGGTTCGTCTACTGATGCCTCAAATCTGCCGGTCCTCTGTAGAAGTCGGAGTATTCGTTCAACACTCTCATCGATATCATGGATTGTTACGTCTCCTCGATCCAGTGCCGCCTTAAGAGCTTTTCCTCGCAATTTTGCGGGGCCTGGCATTTCGAGATCGCATCCAGCCTTAACGCTTTCTACAGTGGAGTTCGTACCACCCCAATCTGAGATTACTGCACTATAGACAAATCAGCAAAACTAACAAACCTTAGAACTATATAGAAACGTAGATCTAGTTTCTACGCTATCTCGGATGCCAGGTATATCTTACCCTTTATATTTCCATTCTTCTCTCAGCACTTTCCTTAGAGTAAATGGATTCATATCGGCATGTAGTCCGTTTATCAGATTATAAGAAGACATGAGAGCCCATGGATCTGCATCTCTTATGGCGATCTCGAAGGGTTTTAAGTATAGCTCTCGCAGCGCCCTTTCCTCTATTACCGAGTTTATCTGCATCCTGAGCGTCTCTTGTTCATTCGCCACAAAATGTTTAATTGTGGCGGCGACGCCTTCTCCTTGCAGGCCATTTATATAAGCTGCTGCGAGTTTCCCGGTGAGGATCGGATCTTCTGAAAACGACTCAAAATTCCGTCCACCAAGTGGTGACCGGTGAAGGCAGACCGTAGGAGCCAGAAGAACCTGTGCTTGCTTTGCTTTGGCTTCTTTTGCGAGTGTGGATCCAACTTGATGAAGAAGGTCAACATTCCATGTAGCGGCTAGAGATATCCCGCAAGGAAATAGGGCAGCCTATAGTTTTATCAGTATGAAGCGGGAAACGTAGATACATTTTACCAACTACTTACAGGGGTTCCGTCCGTGAAGAATTCTCCACGTGCACCGTTGGGACCATCAGTGGTTTTCAGGCTGCCAACGTTAAGTTCCGGCAACGGCTGGGTGCGCCAAAAGTCTTTCCCAGACAGCAGAAGGATCTGTACTAAGGTTAATGAGCCATCCATTCAAATTCTATAAAATAGAAAACATACCTTCTTTTCCTCGCTGAGCTTTGAGACAAGTTCTTTCAACTTCTCCCCTTCCTCCTCGGATTCGTGCACTGGTTTTATAGCTCTTTGAGTAACCATTTTAACTATCTGTGTATCAAAGAGGAGGTCTCGCACTGTAGGGACAATGGCAAGAAACTTGCTAATTTGTAGAGAAGTGGCCCCGTATTTATGTATTCCAAAGGATATAGTGCTATATCGACCACAGACTAATCGCTCTCAAATCGACACTGTTCCTGATAGACCAGGTGCAAAGGCACCGATTCTTCCGGCCCACAGAACGGGTAAAGTGATCGCCATAGCTATTAGCACCATGATTCATATTCTCTCTTCTCCAATCGCATTCGGGAGAAAACCAGAGCTCGCTCCAAGGCGTAACCGTTTAATTTGTTGCATTTTAGAATAAGCAGACATGCACCTTGATTCGAATCGAGGCTGTCAACCAAGGGTCGAGATATTTAGCCTATTGATCTAGCTCCGTTGAAAGCGAGTGTCACCACGCTATTTCGACATCGATAGCATGTGACATAGAATTAAATCCTTGATACGAAGAAAGGCTGCCAGGTACTGGTTAACGTTCCTGGTTCCTCGGAGGACGTGCATGTATACGTTCTATGCTAGGAATTCCATGCAGCAATGAACTGATATAACACGACGAGTCCCTGAAGGAACAGAGTTTTACCTAGATTAGAATCCTGGAAGTACGTTTACACGCCTGGACTCAGCTCCGCCCGAGTATTGTTCCGACGTGATGCGCCGAGTCAAGAGGATCTTCAGATTGCAGGATTCTGTAGAACCATAACGGTATATTATATCCAGACTCGCGGAATGTCGGTCCTGTTTTCCGAAGACTATCCGTGGAGTAGCATTAACTAAGAGAAGGCTGGCGTGTCCAGGGACGCTAAAATGTCGAATCTACTTATTTAAGTTGAGGGCGAATCGAACGAAGTGGCACAATGCAATATTGTCGGGTGAATATTTTTTGTGTTGATGCCGATATTTCGGCCCGTACCGGCTTCATATACCTCAGGTACTCGCGAAACCCACGAGTCCCTCGGGCCGAAGGTCTGGCCTTTGGTATTGACAGACTAGGCAAAATTAGCGTACGTATACCAAGAGTGTACCAAGAATCGTTTTAATCAACAAAATGCGTTCTGGCCCTATGCAGCAGGGCTATCGACGGTTTGATCTTTAATTTGGTTGCCGTCGCGTCAACGGATAGAATACAGCAACCCACAAAAGCTGTCAACATGCAACAACAGAATTGATGAAATCAGTGGACTGCTCGGATATCGACTTAGTCAAGTTTTCTTGGTCCGAGATATATACATTTGGCCCTTGATCAATTGATTCGGCAAATAGTTCTGTTTGGGAGGCCTATATCCCGACCGTTCGAGATAATTATTCGATACATTGTTGCGGGAGGATTCCAAGATCAAGATCTGATATCGGCAGCTCGCGCTCGGGTCACGGGAGGTTATCGGAGTGATATGTGTGGCCAATGGTATCGAGAACTCTTCACACAATGCACCAGGTTAACGTTTGGCACACAACTGCCAACGTCAATCGCACAGATAGCAGCTCTACGGGTCCAAATCACTGTCCAGCGGCTTCACAACCCCCAAATATATACCGGTAAACTGCTTCCCGAGGCTATTTCATTACATTTCTAAGTTTCCAAGTAAATTCCGATGGCCAATTGGTCGGGCGACAAAACCCAGGCGCTGGGGGCGAGAACCATGCATGACGTGCAGCAAATGAGAAGCGACAGAGATGGCGACATTCTCGAACTACGCCAAATTCCCCCTTTCGACAAATCGACCGGGCCAGACTCAGGCCATGACAGGTCGGACCCTGGATCCAGCGGTTACACAAGCATTCAAGCTTCTCAGTTTAGCCTGGGAAATGGATGGGAAGGGAGTAATGGATCCGGTACTCCCCATGTGTACGCAAGTCCAAGTACAAGCTCGGGGATCAATAGAATATATGGCAATTTGCCCGATCCGCAGGGGACGGAGAGGCCAAAATCTACCCGGAATTCCCACACAGAGCAAAAGGCTTCAAATGCAAAAAGTTGGTCCCTAGGTCTCGGGAAGAATCGCTTTAGTAGGGAGGTACCCTGGTCAGGAGTTAGAGATCACCTAGGTATGTGAGCCTTTGTTCAGTACTATACAGAATATAGCATTATAATACCCACCGGTTCGGGGCGGATGGTCAACGATGTCCGGTTGACATCGTGGACTGAATGTTGGGACTAGATGCTTTTCTTTTTTTTTTTTCGTATTCGTGTTTCTGAGCTTTCCTAAGGAAATTCTAAACTTTTAAAGGTTCATACTAACATGATATTTCCTACGGGTAGCACTCGAACGGACCTTTCTTGGATGGCTGCGCACCAGCGGTGCTTTCGCCATGACGGGCGTTTTGTTGGCGCAAATATCCGTTATCGTCCACAAGAATGAGGAAGAGGCCATGAAACTCGGGCTAGTTGTCGAAGACTCTCCCTCTGAAATGCCATCAATCCATGATACTGCTCGGACATTGTCTGCTCTCACAGTGGGAATTGCCATTGTAACGATGTCTATCGGAGTGTTAAGATTTTACTTTGGGCAGAAGGCACTGATAGAAGGACTTGCTGTTTCTGGTGGTTGGCCAATAGTCGGACTGGCTGTATTTGTGCTTGGAGTAAGTACTTACCTACTAACTGGCAATTGCGCAACCGCAAGTCATATTGTCATAGATCGATGTTACTAAGCTGACCACAAATATAACAGTACCTCTTGACTGTTTTGCTTTTAATGGTCATTTCGTCGGATCCGTAATTGGGCAATGTTTCTGACGTACATTTCCCGGACTCTGAACGACCACGATTTTTCTTTTCTAAATCCGACATATATGATAATAGTATAGTATTGATGAACACGGATGCAACCAAATTTCTACGACTAGATTGCCTACAGCCAAGACCACGATACCATGAAGCAAGAAGTACAAAGATGAACCAACAATATCATTTACAAAATATCCAGCAGGCAGTCCCAAGATTCTTCCCATGGATATTATTCAAATCGAATCCTCAGACACTGTACCTGATATTTGAGACTCAAAAGCTTAACTAGAGTCAGGGTTCTATTATTAATATTAATAACAAGTCTGAGACAGAAAACTTTGAAGCCCAACCAAGACCACTGAATCAAGGCAAATACTGCTTAATTCCCACTCATCCTCACACCCACCAGCATGGCCGGGTGCCATCTCTCGCTTCTTATATATCGTTCCGGAGGGCAACCTCTTAGACTCCTCACGTGGCACGAACCGTGTTGGAGTTCTGGCCAACAAACCAGCGCAACGCAAAATCGCTAGAAAGCTTGTGAGCAGCATTTCGTCATAGCTCCGAAACTTTATCGCGAAGCAAGGAACTATCCTTTTGCCTTGAACTTATCCTGCTTTTGGCCGCCGAGATATTAGAGAGAAATAGAAGAGAGGGGAGGATCTATGTACACTACATATACACGCGCTGCTATTTTACTTGTACCTCACCGATCCCTGGTATTTTGTACATGGGAAATATTAGGCTTTGCCCTTGAAAAGTCGAAGTGCTTGTATTTTGCATGAATATCTATGCACATTCCTATCATTAGCGCGATCCGATCATTGCAATTTGCATAGACAATCAGCTGCCTCTGAGATCCTAGGCTTGTCAGTCAGATTTCAGGGTCCTCGCCGTCTTCTTCCTCTCCATCTTTGCTACTACACTATTTAAAATTCAACGGATACCAACAACGACAACCAACTTTCGTCTGCTCTTGTTGTTTGGTGGACTTCACATTTCGTTTTTTATTTTATGGATTGGCTGGACCGCCAAACTTCCGCAAGCCGCCTCTTGTTCGCTTGACCCTCAGGTTTGTTCGGGAACGCAGGGGTCCACACATATTGGTGATGTACCAGACCTAGACCGCATGGCACCGTCGTCAGATGCAAGCCATGCGTCTGTGACGCTGGACTCCTTATACTATGCTGCTTTGCAGCATAGCCCTAGTCCTGCACTCATCCTGTCCGGAGGCACCAAGCAGATCGAGTTCTGTAATCATTCTATGGAAAGACTTTTCCATGCCGTTCGCACAAATTCAGACAAGGAGTCGAACCCCTTCTCCCAAGTGCCTCTGGTCACTTCGGACATGGCAAAGGGATACAGCCTTTCGGAAATGGGTGTTGGCTTGATACATGAGGGCTCAGCCGTCTTTATTGAGTTCAGCTGGACAAGGTGAGCTAGAAAAAGAATTCCACAGGAGATTCTGTACCCGATTATGTCTTACTGGTAGCTGACCGACAGTTTGTAGATTGTTAGATGCACTTCGTCCCATGACCAGAAACAAATTGTTTCCCCAAGAGAATCTACCGGAGAAGGACCAGGCAACAATAAAGAACGACCATAGAATCCTACTCGAGGAAGCTAATAATGACCGAGGGGTAGAACGGATTAAAGATGCTTCAGTAGACGTTGTGTTTTCTCTCCCCCAAGTCAAGTTCGAGTTTGGATCGGATAAAAGCGACTCTCACTTCCTCCATGGCAGCCCTATATATACGGCAGCAAATTCGCCTTCCGGGAATGCTCGCTTCGAAGGCAAATGCATCATTACTTCCTTTGACAACGACGCCCGATTCTATTATCTCCTTACTTTTGTCAACGTCGGACCCGTCGACTACACAACGTCTGAATTAGTGGCTCATCGATCTTCAAAATTGCCGGCATCATCCGGGGCATGGATTAAGCGAAACAATCTTGAGAACGACTGTTCCGGACTTATAGATCTTAACATTGACCTTCTTTCGCTGCAAATCGGTCCCTCTAGCGATACCCAATTGACTGTCCTTCAAAAAATGGCAATAATGAAAAACGCAGTGGTACGTACAAAACCCTCAAATTTCAAGAAGTATGTACTAACTACATTCCAAACATCAAGTTAGATACCATGGCAGTCCCAGTGTTTGCAACATGGTTGGATGGGTCATGTACGTTCGCCAACAAAACAGGCATCTTTTGGGCAGCTGTTGATATACCGGCATCCGGAGACAGTAAGTGTGTTTAGAATCATACGTCTTGGGGTCGTTATCTAAGGAACTCTATCATAGTGGGTTTTATGGACCATCACTGGACTTCGAAGTTTAAGGTATATGATGCAGAATTTAAGGCAGAGCTTGAACTTGAACAATATCCTCTTGTGGTATGTTGATATTCTCGGATATTAAATATACCACAGTGCAATTGTTGACTGAATTATGATGTCTTCTAGAGACTATGTCGTTCACAAAAACCCCTTATATCCCAAAAGGTAACCCATCTTCCCTAGTAAGCTAGCTCACAAAATGTTCTGAGGTTATAGTCTAACATTGCATTCCGCCAAACTCAGGTTGGCCTGATAAACAAATACGGAAATCGTAAAGTTTTCGATGCCGCTGGCGAAGGCATTCTCGACGATAATGGGAATTGGGTTGCCGGCCTTATATGGCTAAGGGATGTTACACAAATGCAAGAGGAGTTCGAAGACAAATTTGCAAAACAAGCAAAGGAGAACGCCAGACGTGCGAATCCCCTGAATACTAAAACCCTTCGCAAAGTTTATTCTCTAACTTTCAGGCCAGTTGTTGCAAAGGAGGGATCTGCAAAAGAGGCGAGCCGTCTAAAATCACAGGTGAGCTTACATACCCTTCAACTTCTGATCAATCTCGTATCACGTACATGAAGAAACAGATATTAACGCTTTATATTTCTTTATAGTTCTTGGCTAATATGAGCCATGAAATACGAACGTATATCTCCCTTTCCAGAATTATTTTATAATACCTCAGGACATACTGGAACTGATACAATGTGGACAGCCCAATCGCTGGCGTCTTGGGCATGAGCGAGATCCTCCTCGATACGGAACTGACCGAAGAACAGCAAGAGTATGCTGAGAATATACAACGCTCCGCAAACGCTCTCCTCACCGTGATCAATGACATCCTTGACTTCTCAAAAGTCGAATCTGGCCGGCTCGATATTGAAGAGGTCCAGTTTTCCCTGGCCCTTGTGTTGTCAGATGTCATTAGGATGATGGGGATCCACGCCGAGAAAAAGCGGCTTCACTTCATTACTGATATCGCAGATGATATCAAATATGATATCCAGGTTCTCGGAGACCCCGGAAGGATCCGACAGATACTCACCAACCTTCTTAGCAATAGCATCAAGTTTACACTTGACGGCCATGTCCGATTAAACGTCGAGGTTGAGAAGGAATTAATCGTGGATACAATGACCAACGGCCCAGTACCGAAGCTAGCAAAAGGCGCCGAGAAGTATGTTGTAGTGAAGTTTGAGGTTGAAGATACGGGGATCGGGATCAAGGATGATGTTATGAAGCTTTTGTTCACCCCGTTCGGTCAGGCAGACTCTTCGACAGCCAGAAAATTTGGCGGGTCCGGGCTAGGGCTTGCAATATCGAAGAACGTGAGTTCAACATTGTATTATCTCCAAAATTCTGCATAAAAACTCACGTTCGGTAGTTGGTTGATCTTATGGGTGGTATCATCGAACTTAAAAGCGGTATGGGAAGCATGGTTCACCCTATCTACCTCAAATTGCCACTGACACTGTTTGGCGAATTAATAGTATATCAAAAGGGAACAACAGCTTCAGTTGTAAGGCCTCCAAGAATCTATCGAATCCTCGAGCCATACATTGTAAAATTCTAACCCGGTTCTAGAAAATACCTTTCCGGTACCCATTCGCTCGGTCTCCAAGGTCATCCACAGGCGAGGGTTTACAACTACCGGATCTTGATAGCGTGCCTGAAAGATTACAGAATGATACTAGTCTCTCTGTACGGAGTGTGAGCGAAGCAAGCGCAAGCCCTAGTCTTAATCCGTTAGGGAATGGCGATCTAGTCACACCCCCAGTATCGCCATTACTTCGTGAGACTTCACGACCAGAAACTCGATCCGACCCTGCAGTTCGAGGGTCATCTTTGAGCGAACCGTATTTCCGGAGTCGATCTCGTTCCACCACATCGTCCATTTCGATACCACCGTATCTTCATTCAACTTTAGACCCTAAAATTATCCTCCCAATGGAAAGGAGAATAAAGCTACACATACTAATTGTGGAGGACAACTTAATCAATCAACAAATTGCTACTAAACTCGTCAAAAAGGTACGATTCTAAAGCTAGGATTAACTATCGTACACACAGAGAAATTTACTTACCCCGCCATCTCCTAGCTCGGCTTTACTGCATCTGCGGTATCTAACGGCCAGGAAGCGCTAGATTACCTCATCGAGGCGAACCTCCAGTTCCCCAAAGATGCTGCTATCAACATACCGGCACGAAGATCGCGGGCAACATACGCTGCTTCCATCCAACTCCAGGTCCAACAAAGACTGGAGCAAGAGGATAATATGACTCCGCCCTTAAAACTAGAGGAAGCGCGAAACAATCGAACAGATCCCACCGTGAACGGGAAAATGTTTCCCGATCTCATTCTTATGGACTGTCATATGCCCGTGCTAGATGGGTACTCGGTAGGTCACCGACGACGACAAAGTAAACCTAAAAATGCATTCCTATAATTGACTTGTTATTAGGCCACCAGAGCTCTCCGACTGCTTCCAGAGCCGCTAAGAAACGTACCTATAATTGCGATGACTGCTAGTGCGATCAAAGGAGACAGGGAGAAATGCAGAGAGGCTGGAATGAGTGACTACCTGAGTAAACCGGTCGTCACAGCCAATCTTGAAAGAATGCTGGTAAAATGGTTAAGTTACAATGGAGATGATAATTACCTGAGTATTAGAATGACCGGGCAGACGCCGCCTCGGGAAAATGCAAAACGGCCAACGAACATCAATTTATCTGATATTGAGGGGTTCGATCCTGGTAAACATCGGGTATACTAGCATACATAGCTTATCGTTTATGATGAAAGGCCAATACTCCGGATGAAGGCGAGACATCTGGACTCATGGGTTTAAATGACGCCCGCAAAAGTACGATGTCTACCACCAAGAGCTCCCTATAGCTCTATGAGTTTGTCCCCGTTTGTGTTTCCTTTTTCTTTCGTTGAAATTGTTTTTTTCCCTTCCTCTTTTTTACCTCATGATATGAATGCCTCTATTTCGTCGCTCGTTTTTAATTGTAAAATAGATAGACCTCCTTCCTTCCTTCCAGCTTGAGTACTGACGGTCCGAGATCTGGACCATGGCGTTTATGGTGTGTTAGGCATCCAAAGGGATATACCCGGGGGCTTTTTATCGACTGTATCCCCTAATCGTATGCACATGTTTATGCTTTTATGAATATCCTTTCTTTTCTTTCTTTTTGTGTTTGCATCTACATGACAAGAGATCTTGGGTAGTTCGGGTTGTTTGCGTGGGGTGTACTCTACTTGTACGATACTTTCCTTACCTGTAAGACCAATACACTGAGAGTATAAATATTTCATGATATTTTAGCAAAAAATAAAGGAAGGTAAAAATCTACTTGTAGTTGCAGTTCGACATTGCATTGCATTGTTGGAAACCTGAGTTCGGAATGTGCAGGGGCGAGAGATAGAAAGATGCATAAAGTTGTGGATTACCTAATCTGACAAGCATCCTGAAATGGACGTTCGCTAGCTATCGATATCTAGAAAATTAAACGGTAAATTTTAAATATTTTGGACATGCGTATGCATGTGCATGCAAGCATGGTCTTCGGCAGCTAGAAGTACTGTCAAGTTATCATTTCCCATATCAGGAAGTTAAGTACCGAACGACCCACATATACCTTCGCTAATAACAGTCAGCGTCAAAGGCAGAAACGATACTTTGGGGATTCGTCGTCGGAAATTCGAACCAACTTCTCAGCTGTCGGGTCATGATCATGTCGACACTATGAATAGAATACAACGTCAGACAACACGAGGTGGGTCACTAAGCCAAGAAATCGGCAATCAGTGTCCACGGGATTGATTGTTTCCGACTTCCACAGTATCGGTAGATATATACCTATACGGGATAACGGCTTGAGGGTTTTATATGGGCCGATTGATAAGTGATAAAGGATATATCGATATGGTTACAATAACATTTCATGTCACCCAACATCTAGCAATCTGACAACATCCCAAGCTAGCTGCAATAACAGAATGAAAATAAATCCGCCACTTTGATCCACATAAGAATTCAGCTGTTCTCTTACCCGCTAGTTCGTTCGCTTGGTTCTAGATAGCGTAAGTGCCGCGACAATGACTGGAACCACACTCACGACTTCGCCCAGACCTGCGTATGCTGGTGGAATTCGTGCTTTAACAAACGCTCCTCCCGCCAGCAAGATCGCGAACACATTATAAACTGCAGACCAGATAAAATTGAAGATGATTCGGCGAGATGATCGTTTCGAGATATCAAGCAAAATCATTAGACCATCCAAGCCACCTAGCAAGACGACATCTGCAGTGGCTCTTGTGATATCTGAGGTAGTTCCAATTTGGACACCCACATTCGCCTGAGCCACGGCAACAGCATCGTTGGTTCCGTCCCCGCAAAAGAGCACCGTACGGCCTGATAGCATCAATTCCTTAACATAATGTTGCTTTTGAGCCGGTGAATGTCTTGATGCGGTATTTGAAAGAGGAATACCAACGGTTGTGGCAACGTCTTCAACAACTTTAGGTCCGTCACCGCTGACAATGTGACATCTGATGTTGCTTCGTTGAAGGTCTGCAATAACTTGCTTGGCTTCTTCCCGAATATTGGCCTTTAGTCCAAAGGCAGCCACAAGAGTGGAGTTGATTATGATACAGAAGAGTGACATCCCTTGTTCAATGAGTGCCGAGATCTCTGGTTGTTCTTCTATATTCAGCCAGTAAGGATTCCCAGCCTTAATAATCAACCCTTGCCATTCGCATTGGATACCCGCTCCAGGAATCGATTCCACTTTTTCAAGCCTTGCGAACCCACTGGAATTTAGTTTCAGGTGTGCCGCAACTGCTATGGACACAGGGTGTTGGTTTTCCTTCGTCACCGATTTAGCAATCGAAAGGACGTCCGAAGCGTGAACATGTGGAAATAACTGCTCGTGGACAACAATAAGGTCCCCTTTGGTTATTGTGCCAGTCTTGTCGAAAACGACATCAGTAACCTTATGCCCTCTCTCGATGACATCGGCCTGTTTAATTATAACTCCAGAGCGCGCAGCTACGCCCCCTGCAATGACAAGGACCATTGGAACAGCAAGTCCTAACGCGCAGGGGCAAGATACTGCTAAAACGGCGATACAATAAGTAATTGCCACTCCTACAGCACCACCTCCGCTTTCTCCACGGACCTTTAGAGCCACCGCCATCCAAATGCCGAAAACAATTAGCGCGATACAAACGACAACTGGTATGAAGTAACCGGCCACTGTATCAGCTAGATCTTGGATGCGAGGTTTTGCTGCCAATGCGTTCTCAACCAGGTTCGCTATATCGGTGATGCTATTTTTGCCAGGAAGACGAGTCATGCTGATAGTAAGAGGGCTAGAACAATTGATTGTTCCTGCGATAACCTCATCTCCTATAGCCTTAGGTACAGGCACGTTTTCACCCGTGATCATAGACTCATCAACAGAGCTTTTGCCATCGGTCACCATGCCGTCGGTCACAATGCGGCTGTGAGCAGGTACAATGAAAGAATCACCAAGTTGCAACAAACGCGCGTCAATTTCGAGCGTACCCGAAGAAGGCACAACAAGCAATGCTTTCTCAGCCTGAAGTGAGCGCAGTGAAACAGCGGAGATTGCCCTCACTTTAGCAATCGCAGCTATGAGTCTACCGAGGAGAACAAGAGTGATGAGCAGAGAACTCGTTTCGAAAAACTCGCCAGTTTCCAAAACATAACCGGCATGGGTTAATGCGAATGCCACCACTGAGTAGGCATATGCAGCACTGATACTGATGACGACTAGCATATCCATTTCAATGACTCGGCTGTAAATAAGCGATTTAATAGCACCAACGTAGAACTCAGGAATTGCAAGTGCTTGGACGAAGGTTGCGAGAACCAGAGACACAATCGATCGCTTAGAATATGGCACTGGATTATTCGACCAATTCAAGACAAGAATTGGTATAGTCAACACCATAGCGGTTCCAGTAATCCAGGCCATACGAATAAGTCTCCGTCTGCCATTGACCAATTTTGCATCGTTTCTAGGTGGAGCTAGACTTGCGCCCTTGATTGAAGAGAGTAGTGTTCTGGCCCCAATGACGGCCGGATCGTAGTTGACGCGGTAGGTAGATTTGTTAATCTGCTCGACGGATTCAACCGCAGCACTTCTGAGCTGCTCGAATGCAGCCTTTGCAACTGCTGGGTCAACTCGCAGGTCCAGAGTTTGATGATCACTCACTATCTGTGAGAATTTGAATCCAGTTTCTTTCTCAATCCGTGGTATTAGTTGCTGAAGGCTCGACACGGCCATATCAAGGTCAAATTCTGCCACTCCAGTTACAAAAGTAACGTTGACGGAAGATACGCCGTTAATGCCATTAAGAATGTTTGTGACTTTTCGGGTACAACCTGTGCATGTCATTCCTGCGACACCAAGAATAATATGTTGACGAGCGGTGATATTTGCAATGCCAGCTTCTGTAGTTTGAACACCAGAACCCGAAGACCTAGCCCCGAGGTCGTCGGAAGGGCAACAAGATAAGGCCTCGGCATCTTGAATATCGTCTGGAGTAGTTCGTTGCCCACAGCAGGACTTCTCACACTTTTGGACAATAAGACTACTAGAAGACTGTTGGCCAATTGCAGGCGGACTAGACTTTTCAAGGGCAATAGCTGTGTTATCCGAGATCTTTTTATTCGGAAGAGGCCGTCCGCAGCATGTATCAAGGCCATCCAAAATACTGCAGCAAATGCATATTCCTTTCTGAATCAGACTGAGATACTCATTCATTGCCTGTTGAAGATGGTCTGTGCATGCTTCTCTTGCCTTGCTTTGGCTTTCTGTCTCAGGAATTAATGGTGAGGTCCCCCCCGAATTATCAGTGGCACAGCAGTCAAGCTTTTGTTCGGTACTACCATTGCCTTGTTTCTCTGCTGAAGAGTCTCCTTTCCCAGTACAGCAGCCGCCTTGCTGGCAGGCGAAACTTTCATCCTGTTTTTCGACATAGTATGCTCCCTGTGCCCGAGAGGTACCAACATCCTGTTCAGCGTTTTCAGTGCTCTGTTTACCGGAACAACAGGGCTCTGAGATTTGAGAACTGCAATTATCCCCTGAGCCCTTCTTTGTGCAGCATCCGCCCTTTCCTTTTTTGTCGGGATTTGTCGGTATCCCATGTTGCGGTTGGCTGGTACAGCCGTGATTCTGAATAACGGCATCAGCAGCAAATGATTCGATATCAGTGCCGACAGGTTGCTTCTCCAGGCAATTTAGCTCGAATATCTTCGTCCCACAAGTGCCAACATTGGTTCGACCTGGAGCACAGCAATCGTCCGTAGCGTTGTCCGACGTTTTCACAGGGGTTCGCTGTTGCTTAAGCTCGTCACACGTAGAGCGACATTTCAGCAGAGCAAGCGTACGAACACAGTTTTCTGGTATTACACCAAGTCAGCCTCTCTGCTTTAAAGTATGAGTTAAGCACCTCGTATTTTCTTAGGCAAATAGATTTGATTTGAAATATTTCAAAACAACCAGAAATCGAGACCTACCATCACAAGCGCTTCGGCCACAACCACAATCAACGCAACACCCGATGGGTGGAGCTTTGTAACTTTCATATTCCTGTGAGCCGGAGCCCCTCGAGCTCGGACGCTCTTGTTTTTGTTCGCTCATATTCCAATGTTTTCGCTTCGGAGCTGATGCATGCAGGCGCCGACGATTACAGCATTAAGAAGCTGATGGTAAGCCCGTTAGAAGTGACTAGTACGTAGTACCAGTAGGGTCGGCGTACCGGCGCAGTGTCTTGACCGAGCTTTAGTACAACCCGACGATAACTTACTTGTGTGTAATAAATACCATATGGCCGCCAAGCCGGCCTCGCTTGTTTTGTTTGACTACCCCACGGTTGGTTAGACTTTTGGGAGATGGCTATTGCGATTGCATGCGTGGTCATTGACCAATACATTCGTAACCATCAACGGGCCTCAGAAGGCCTCATCATCCGACATGATGCATCACAAATCAACAGACTACCATGTACACCTCAGGGAGTACGAATCAAATGGAATCGGAACCGGAAGTCCAAAGGAATGTAATTGTGAGCGCCAAGTATTGTCCCGACCGACGGGTAGTCTCCACCTCAGAATCAAATCTCACAGTTAACACCACTTCATAGCCAAGGTTTAGAAATATGTACACCTATATAACACTCCGTCTACGCATCATCGACGGAGCATTGCTGACCAGCATGCAAAAAGGGCACGAGTTATTTCAGCCTTATAAGTGGCTCTTGGCGCTGTAGGTCTCAAATCCTCAAGATTATCTTGCAAAGCCCACATCATTGGAACGGTCTACGGCGTGGAAAACTATTGGCCCAAAGCACTTCGTTCGGATGAAATATTGCCCCGCCGGAAAGGTTAGCAGGGGTCTCGACGCCACCCACGGAGCAACCCTTTACACGATAAAGTTTAGCTGGTTGTTGGTAATCCAACAGAATTTTGGTTAGGTTTTTTTTTTCGAGTTTTGGGAGAAAAAAAAGAAAGAAGGAACGTTGAAGTCATGCATTTGAATCCAAATCGGGCAATACGAAAATACGAGGGTTCGGACCAAGAAAGATAACCAGTAAGGCTCCAAGGGGGCATAATGCTCAGAGCCGCCTGCAGTGCCTGTCGGAATAACGTTACCTTATTCGAATAACGGAAACCTTTACCCCCAGTGCCCGTTATTCTTGTCCATTGGTCTTAGTAATAACCTTATACCAACAATGGTATGCATATATGCACCATACGGAGAGTTCGGAGGCACGGAGCTGACGACGAATCGGGGGGGGGGGGAACAACCACACCATGCCCAGACCTCTGGCGCTGCAGAAAAGGGTCCAGCTTGGAACGATCAATATATTTTATATATATATTCAGTCCATGCCCTCAATCGTTTGGAGGATCTAATCAGTACCAATCAGGCACATCAAATACCATTGGCACACTTTTCAAAAGAAAACGGTCTTATAATTGCAATTTCACCCCTAATATATAATAGACTTGCAGATTTCGGTTACATATCGAAGTTCTCTCCCTTTCAATTTGAAGTTACAGGCAGATCTCGACATTTCTCGAATCCCCAAAACTGCAAAACGATCTATTTCAACCCAGAAATTTTGTTCCGACTCTGAAAGGACCCAACAGTTTCAATAGGTGGCTTTCACGACAACAACGCCTTCGCGATGTCGTCGACGATAGAACAGGAGTTGGCTGTCTCTAGGGTATATTCTAAAACAGACCATAAACAAAGCGTACCAAATGAGCCATCCGGGGAGTCGACGCTTCAAACTGGCAGCGCAAGCACAAAGGCCCCAGAGTTCAAAATGGATTGGCGAATGTTTTTAGCATTTGCTTCGCTCATGATTATTACACTCGCGGCTGCACTCGATGCCACCATCATATCTGTTGCATTGTAAGCACCTTCATACAATAACTCCTCTAGTTATATAGTTTCTAGTTGATCCAAGAGTCTGAACTAATATACTCGATATAGGCCGGTACGAATATCTTCGTTAAATTCAACCAACACCTCACCTGATTCATGCTAACTATTACTTCCCGTAGATTATGGCACACGAACTTAAGGGTACAGCGACGGAGGCATTCTGGACAGGAACAAGTTTCTTGCTTGCTTCTACCGTTATTCAACCCGTCTTCGGATCTTTCTCAAACATTTTCGGCCGTAAACCGCTCATTATCACGTCGCTCGTATTCTTTACCATTGGTGCTATTTTATGCGGTGTTGCAAAGAACTTCACCTTGATTCTCGTCGGCCGTACCATTCAAGGTATCGGTGGCGGTGGTATCATTGCCGTGTCTGAGATTATTATCACAGACTTGGTTCCTCTTAGGTATGGCTCTAGTTATTTTACGAATCCCAACTTGCCGGTATCGATAATTAACTGTTGATTGTATAGGGAACGAGGAAAGTATTTCGGCTTCCTTTCAACAATGTGGGCTCTGGGTAGTGTCCTCGGACCCGTCCTCGGTGGCGCCTTTGCTGAGAAGTATGTAGCATTCGTTTTCCGACCATTCCATACTAGAGAATATGTGTTTATCTAACTTAAAAATAGGGTTTCATGGACCTGGGTTTTCTGGATCAATCTTCCTTTCTGCGGTATCGGATTTGTCATGATTCCCCTCTTCCTCAAATTGAACTTCATTCCATCCAGTATGGCTGCCAAATTGAGACGCATTGATTGGGTTGGTGGCACAATTTTCATCGCTTCTTGCACAAGTTTCTTGATTCCAATCACCTGGGGTGGCACTATGTACCCATGGAACTCCTGGAGAACAATTGTCCCACTCGTTGTTGGTGCCGTTGGCCTTATTGGATTCATCTTCTACGAAAAATTCGTTGCTGCAGACCCATTGATCCGGATGAGCGTTTTCGAGCAAAGAACCGCAGCCGTCAGCTACCTTGGTACTGTTATGCACGGCGTTATGTATGTGACAACCTCCTTTATAGCTCCCACAATCTTCAAAACTAACATGAACAATAGTCTCTGGGGCCTTCTTTACTACCTCCCTCTCTACTACTTGGCTGTCAAGAACCAAACCGCTATTTTGGCTGGTGTCTCTGTCTTCCCACAAACCTTCACCGTCGCTCCAGCCTCAATCGTCGTCGGTATCGTCTCTTCCATCACCGGTAAATTCAGATGGGCTCTCTACATTGGTTGGGCGCTGACTATCCTCGGAATGGTAAGACCCTATGCTTTAGCTTTAGAGAAAAAATAATTCGACATGAACTAACATAAAAAACAGGGTCTTCTCTACTTGCTTGATGTCAACACATCGACCGTCGCATGGATCTTCATCAACCTGGTTTCCGGATTGGGAACCGGCATGCTTTTCCCATCCATGGGGCTTGCCATTCAAGCTTCCGCCCCAGCCGCCGATACCAGCTACGCTGTTGCTATGTTCTCTTTCCTTCGCGCGTTCGGACAAACTTTTGGTGTTGCCATCGGTGGCATGGCTTTCCAGAACTTCCTCAAGTCCAAGTTGGAGAGCTTCCCCGAGCTCGAACCTGTCGCCGGTGAATATGCCAAGGACGCTGCTGCCCTTGTCGAGGTTATCAAGCGGATGCCCTTCGGCTCCCCTGACGAGCTCCGCGAGAAACTTGTTTGGTGTTACGCTGCTGCCTTGAAAAATGTCTGGCTTGTCTTCCTTGGCTTCGCAATCATTGGTGGTTTCTTGTCCATCTTCACTGAAGATTTGAGCCTCGACCAAGAGCACAGCACTGATCAAGGGTTCAAGAGAAAGGAAAAGACGGAAGACGCAGAAAAAATTTAAGCTGAACTAATAATGCTGTCGATTGATTGACACCCTGGAATTCGGCTGAATTCATGCTAATAGGCGGATGCAGCGAGATCACAGAAAAGACGGTGGCATTTACAGGCGTTTTTGAGGAGCATTGTCTTAATATCTTAACTTTTCGGTTTTCTATACATATACATTTCATTTAGGGGATAGATCACCACTTTTGGAATATGATTGCATGAATAATATTTAATGATATTGTTATTTAAATTATTATATATATATACAGAAAGATCAAACAATCACATTATTACAGAATCTTGATCTACTGCATGATGATAGTTCTACTTGCTAGATCTAAGGACCATGGGTTGTCATACCAAATCCTTATAGCATACCGATACAGGACCTAGTCCTTTAGCTAGCTGTACACCGTGACAGTGTGCGATTTTGGATGCCATCACCAGGAACAGATTCTACAGGGATACTAAAGGGATGCCACATGTACAAGCTGCAAAATGGGATGCCGTATATTACAGAATGGGATCCTACGTACTGCAAAACAGGGTCTCGCATCTTGTATGCCACGTCCAAAACATGTGTACTATACATGCATATACATAAATTTATCGTTCTCTAGTTTCATCCGGTCACACAATCTTGACTTCCAGAGACAGTCTCTGTTCTTCGCTTAGGTTTGTGTTGCTTTGGTGGAATTTCCACATTGGGAATCCCTGTAACACGAAGTTATATTATGTAATCAACGGATGTTGGGGAACATGAAGATATGTTAACATGCATGCATGCATGTGCATGGGACATAACGTAAGGTTGGCTCTCAGGGAAACAATATCGCGTCGGACTATCTTGTAATTAAACCTCGTTTATTTCATTCGAGGATAATATTCTCAAAGGTTCAGGATGCCTCGTAGCGACGAAGCTGAAGCTTTCTTGTACGTCCAAAGGTCCCCTTTTAAACTCGTTTGCATGTAAACTTGTATAATGTTTCACCGCTAACCAGCACGCGAACCATGCATGGTCCAGTGTTGCCGTCTACGAAACGGTCCAGCAGATCCCATATGGCAAGGTGACATCCTACGGGCATATCGCTAAACTGGCTGGCTATCCGTAATTCACCCCCCGACGTCGACCCTCGATCTTCCAAATTGAGGATCTTTGTGAACTCGGATCTTTGCTTACGTATAGTATACATTATTTCGTTGTTATCAGAAGCCGTCCACGTCAAGTTGGTGTAGCCTTGAAACACCTGTCTACAGACCCTCAAGCGGAATTTAACGGTTCAAATGTCCCCTGGCAAAGAGTTATTAACTCACAAGGTGTCATATCTCAGAGAGAGGTTGTATCGGGTATGAGAAGACAGGCTGATGTTCTTCGAGGGGAGGGAGTAACGGTGGACGAGGATAGGCAGGGCACCATGTCGGTAGACTTTCGAGAATTCGGTTGGTTTCCTGCTGTTGAAGACAGCGAGGATGAAGATGAATGAAAAGTCTTGAGGATTCTATGGCATGCTATTATATGGCATGCTACAGCCTGTGTAATTTTGCTTCCGTTTAACGTTTCCGAAAGATCTTAAGAATCTATATCACTTAGATTATTATTTCAGTGAGTCTAGTGCATATCAAATAGAGGAACGGATTTTTACGGTTCCTACGAGTATGATGACTGCGATGATTCATGAATTCATCCTGACCTCACTTATACTTCCATGTCGCTGCCTACAGAGATCACGAAGACGGTGGTCCCAAAAGAGGCAAACCCTAATTTGTAATGTTTGTGCCTGGCGTGTCTAACGTTAAGCATATCGGATCCTTGTTCACTACATCCTGGTTCGGGCCCGAAAGACGGTTCGACATGTTCCATGCTAACTACCCGACACCCAAGGTTAAATGTTGGCTCTTGTGCCTCGTACTGAGCAATATGCAAATATCCTTATTAATCCGCAAGTCCATCCAGTAAATTGGCCCAATCTAACATCCATACTACAAAAACCAAATATTGTAATGGGTGGTTTTGCAATTTTGGGGGGCGGGGTCTCAACCAAGATTTTTTCTACAAGTCCTACAAAATATGGAAAACTCAAAATTCTTCCGAACTAATTAATTTGGCTGTCGTGCAAGTCGCTAGGTACGTACATAAATACATACATAGACGGTACTATTTTGAGAGGACGATACTTGGTGATTAATTACTCGGTGTCGCCCGACGTTGACCCACTTAATCATGCGCCATGAGTCAGGCAGTCGATCTATCCTATTGTTCTGCCTACAAACTGACATCATGAGGCTGTACATAAATGCGAAAAAGGCATGAAGATGAACATTGGCAAGCTCGCAACAATGCTTGACACCTTGGCGCACGTGTAAAGCTACCATCTTTTTGGTATCGCGCATATCGCACCTGCGCGCAAACACAAGTTTCGAGTGCCAGGGACTCTAAACTTGCCATTCCAATTGGGCCTAAAAGCTTGCTTGCTTGCTTGCTTGCTTGCTTGCTTGCTTTCAAGTTGAGCCGCGGAATAGAAACAAGGAAACCCGACCCCTGCTTTTTTAGATCGGATCATGGATCATGGGTGCCAAGATTGACCTGCTTAATTTCCCACAATTGGGTTCTTTGGTAGCAGATCTTTCCCAGTGTCATAAACTGTGTGTCAAGATGCCTATGACTATGGGATGAGGGTCCGAGGGATAAACTTAGCCTAACGTTATGGATGTATTTAAAAGATCTCTTTCCTCCCCTTTACTCTATAGTGATAGTTGAAAATTGGCATTCCCAAGATTTCAGCCATTCGCTTCTTCGGAATCTATATCAACTTTGTCAATAATACTTGTCTCCGAAACTAAGCCTTTGCCAAGAATATCGATATATCACCTTTAACGAGAAACCGACAAAAATGCGGAGCAGCTTGTTTTCGGTTGCCGTAGCAGCAGCACTGCGATTCTCAGCAGCGCTAGCAAGTGAACATGACTTACACTTTTACCCGCTAGAAGCGCGAGAGGTCGGAGAGTTCGAAATGCTAGGGCGTGAGATGAAAAAGAACGGCGCGCCAATGGCCGGGTTAGATATCACTAATGATCTGGAAAGGAGAGGAATGACATTGAACCCGAGACAAAGTTGTCCTTCGGGATATGGCCTGTGCTCTTCAAGTGGGAGATGCTGCCGTTCTCCTGGAAGGTGCTGTAACGATGGCACGTGTATTGTCAGCGGGGAAACTTGCTGCTCAACTGGAGGTATGGTCACCATTTCTTCCTTCTAGTTAAACTTCACTAGAAAGTTATCTAGTTTTTTAACATATCTATATTGATACTAATTAAAATTTTCTTCCCTTTTCTTTTCCCCAGGCGCCTGCAGAGTTACACGGAAATGTTGTGGAACCGGCTGTATTCCGGATTCCTCTGTCTGCTGCTCGAGTGATGGTGATTATTGCGACGTCGGTACGTATACACACCCCAATATGAGTGCCTGATGCCTTTGCACTGACATATAACTGCCATCTAGGCTATCTCTGTTGCCGGACTGGGTATTGCGTCTTACCAGGTGGAGAATGCTGCCGAGATTGTAAGTATCAAATTAATTGGTATAGCGCCGGTTATCTCCTTTATCCCTAAGCTAATGCTGTCTTTTAGACGGAACCTGCCGCCCCGGATATCGATGTGTGATCAATAGCGCGGGCGTAAGAGGCTGCAGAGCGGGTACAAGCGGAGGCGGCGGTAGCTCCATCGCTGCTGAACCCAGTTCAAGAGGAGACAGTGTTACCAATCCACCATCAACACGAACCCCAATAACTACCCCAGCACCAGATCCAACGACAGCCCCTCCAGTCGAATACAGATGGTTTACCACCACAATCTATTGGTATTACTACTGGTACTATTACGTCTGGGTTTCGACTATTGATTATACTTCTACGAGAAGTTCGAGGACCTCGACGTCTACCACCGTTTCAGCTTATGTTAGTGCTTTTAGTGCTGCTTCCAGATCATTTGAGTCTATTGCAAGCGACTTGACCACATCGACTCCAAGTCAATACACAACAGAGTTTGAAGGCCCCACTCCGACACCCGTTGAGGCTACCACGTCGTCTGAAGCATCGACTGCTGCCCCTACCCCTTCAAACACTGGAGGAAGTAACTCACCCGGCAACGATATAACAAATGTTGGCGGCGGCGGAGATAACGCCCCAAGTACTGCCTCGCAGTATAGAGCGAGAGACGTATTTGTATTTGCGCCGATTGTCTTCTTGTTGACATTGATTTATACGTTATGATTGGAAACCATCGGGTTGAATTCTATAAGGAGGTTTTATGAGATTATCATGTATATTTAAATAAATAATACGACTTATAATATTAATGAAAGTGAATGATCATATTACCCAAGACTACTAGATGGTCACTATATAGTATGAAGTACTCCAGCTTGAACTCTCGAGATTATGCTACAACGTTAGCCAGTCTTGTAACATTTGTAAACATGTTTTAAACTGAGCTATAACTGTGTTGTTAATGTTGTAATTCGATACGTTGTGTTTGCTTTTATCGACAAACCTTCTTATTCTGGATTCTGCCGAAGCCAAAATGCTGTGCAACCAATCGGTCCCAACGAACTTCCAATCGCCGAGAGTGCGCCTCAAACCCAAGTCAAAGGACCGGATCATTGGACTTCTTACGGTACCTTTCTCCTGTGCGAACCTCAACAGCCAGATATGTCTCTTCTTTAAACCCCAACATCTACATCTTCTATCCTTAACTAGTACTCGAGAACCGCCTCATGGATTCCCCGGATGGATTCCCAGCCAAATCCCCAGCAGTCTCTCCCTCCCATCGATACCTACGATCCTCTTCGCGATGACCTCCAGAACTTTCGCAACTCCACGGACGCCACGGGTGGTTCGCCCGTCGGCATGAATCGCAGTAGTAACAATTTCAATTCGCTACCCCTCAGTTCGCCTCCCACTCCGACAGGTGGCTCCCGACGAGGTTCCATCCCTTTTCTCCGGAACCGTAATCGCACGGCGTCAGGTGCCAGCTTGACTTTCATACAACCGGCTCCTATAGACTTAGTCGACCATACGGTTGATCCGTCTGAACGTAGTTCAGCAGCCTTTGCCCGTAGTGTCGTGGTAGGGGATTATACGATCATCAGTGGGTCACCTTTGAGAGCTGGTGCATACGTTGTTTGGAATTGTACGGTAGAAACGTTGGAAGGCCAGAAGTTTACGGTAATCAAGCGTTACTCTGAATTTGATGCGCTGAGAGAGAAATTACTCCTCGCATTCCCAAATTCTAAGGCTGCATTACCACAATTACCTAGAAAGAGCGTGGTTTCAAGATTCAGGACGAAGTTCTTAGATTCGAGAAGACAAGGGTTAAACTATTTTTTGTCGTAAGTTCCGAAATCTCTAATCCTTATGAACTGGGCTACAACTAATGACATTTTGACTACTATAGGTGCATACTTATGAATCCGGAGTTTGCTGGTTCGCCTTTGGTAAAAGAGTTCTTGTTTAGTCGGGATTGATGGGCCGATTTCGTACCAGTGATTTGTACGTTGCTTAGAAGCGTTCATTTTGGCGGTTGCTTTATAATCCAGGTCCTTGTTGGTTCTCATATTCTGTTTTTGGGTAACCGTTATATTGAAGGGCGGTTTACAAATGGTCTTATACATAATATTTAATGAACTAGTCGATTATGGATGGCATGATACTTTGAATTCAAATCTATTGACCTAAGGAAACTTCCCTGCAGTTGCAATAACCAGCGGCCACCATCTATCAACTTGAATTGCTACTACGAAGCCTGCCATAGCCATGTCATCGTTTTGATTTTAACCACCCCCTCTTTCCCGCAGCCTCGAGAAATTTCCAAAAAGGTTTACCACACTAAAACGGCTACGCCAGTTCTCGAGCTTCAACGCCATGATATCTGTGTTACAACGTTGTACAGAATTAACGGTATACCTGCCACTTTAAGTAACCATTCTTAGCAATCGCAAATACAGTTGGTAAGTCCAATCTATAGAACCCGGGAGGGGTATCGATATATCATAGTGAAGGCCATGAGGTCAACAGTACGCTACGAGCACTCCAGCCACGTTACCTAGGACATTAGTGGTAGCACACGTACATGTAACACCTTATAAAGCTAGCTCATCACAAGGACATCTTCTATGAGTATATCCCTTCGAATCCCAAGAAGTAGAATAGGATTTGCCACACATGTGTGCAGAGATGGGCATCTCAGTAACAATAGGATCCGGATTCGGAGCTAATATTGTAAATAGACCCTTTCCCGTGAAGACCCTAGCCGTAATTCAGACTAAACTTCAATCTATAGCATTTTCCTCCTCTTCGAGTCCAAATTCTAGATCTAATCCTGTTGTTAGGGGCCATTGCGCAAACCTAGAGGCCTGGATTCTCGATGAGATTAAGATTTAATCTTCACGCCGACAATGATGACCCCCCGGAGGTACGAAACTGGAGAGTCCACCTTATAGCCATCATTGTCAGCATGGGACCTCTAGCAAGTAAGTAACGTCTAGATAATTATCATACAACCACCAGTATATTTTCTACAACTTGAAATATCAAGATCCTCATCACATTGTCTAGTGGGCTATGATACTGCCGTAATCGGCGGCACAATGGCTCTCGACTCGTTCAAACGAGATTTCGGTCTCAACAGCGGCTCCCAACATTGGCGTGACACCCTCCAGGGAAACATCGTCTCAACTTTCCAAGCCGGTACATTCTTCGGCGCCTTGTTTACCTTCGCAATCGGTGAGAAATTCGGTAGAAAGAAAGCAATAATACTAGCAGTAGCAATCTTCTTAATCGGTGGCACACTCATGACTTGCTCGAATGGTCATCTACCATTAATATACGCCGGACGCGCTATTGCCGGGTTTGGAATAGGATCCGTATCGCTGCTTGTTCCGGTTTATATTGCTGAGACTTCACCTCCATCGATTAGAGGTCGTTTAGTCGGTATCTTTGAGGTTTTGTCTCAGGCCGGTGGGATGTGTGGGTTTTGGATAAAATATGTTGTTAATCGTACGATTTCAGTTGATACGAAGGTGCAATGGATTATACCACTAGCTTTACAGCTTTTGCCGGGAGTTCTACTCCTTTGTGGTATATTCTGGTGTCCCGAGACTCCGAGATGGTATGCAAAACAGGAACGGTGGGAAGAAGCTATCGCCACACTCTCGTGGATACGGAAACTTCCAGCCAGCCATGAATATGTTAGAGGGGAATTAGAGGAAATTCGACGACAAGTATCATCGAGAAACCTGCCCTCGGAGAATAGGAATACCAAAAGATACTATTTATCCCGGATTTTCCAAAAGGGCACACGAAATCGTATAGGAATAGGACTACTTCTCATGGCATTCCAGAACCTCACAGGCGTTAATATCATTACCTACTATTCTCCTCGTATATTCGAAACACTCGGAATTCAAGGAACCGACACTAAACTCTTCGCTACTGGATTTTACGGCGTCGCCAAAACCCTTGGGATGATAATATTTTCCGTATGGTTAGTCGAAAAGGTTGGAAGACGAAGGAGTTTGATATGGGGTGCATTCATCGGATCTATTCCGATGTGGTATCTGGGTGGTTATGTTTTAAAATCTGACCCAACAGAGGCAGCAATAAGAGGCGATGTTGCAAGAAGCGGATGGGGATACTTAGCTATGGTTTGCGTAAGAACCCCCCGGTCCTTCCCCAAGATCGAGGTTTCAATAACTAATGGAGGAAAAATAACACTGTAGGTGTATCTCTACGGTTTGATATATTGTGCTACTTGGCAAGGCATTACTTGGGTCTACTGTTCCGAGATCTTCCCATTGGATATCCGAATGCTCTGCGTCGCTATAACAACAGCAGATCAGTGGTTTTGGTCGTTTATCATATCAAGGACGACGCCGTATATGATTACGTCTCTGGGATATGGTACTTATATGTTTTTTGCTTCTCTGATGGTCTGTATGGGAATATGGGCGTGGTGTTTTGTGCCAGAAACCAAGGGGAAGGGCTTGGAGGAAATGGAGGATATTTTCGGTGTTAGAAAGTTCCAGGATTCGGAGCAGGGAAACGGAAGGGGGAGCCATGTTGAAGAAGAAGAAGAAGTCAACGGCCATGATCATGATCACGATGTTGGTGGAAAGCCTGCCTCGGAACATATTGAGAACCCTGATGTTTTAGAAAAAGTAGATCGCAGTTAGCATTCAATATTCGAACCCTGATCCAGGCTTGAACTATTCGAAATTCGGATAGCGAGGTACCTAATTACTTCTTCGGTATTGCTCAGTAGGTATTCATATGCTTCCCAAGCTACTACATTGATCAATTGATTAATCTTAGGTCGACAGTCTGGTACGACCAACACAAGCTTATGTGGTATTTTAGAGGAATGCTATCGAATCGAATATCGAATATCGAATATCGAATGGCCGATAGTAACCATGAGGAAGATATTTGTAAGATAGAATAATATAATCACCATTATTTCTTTGATAGATAGGTGATCACATGAGATCTTTGGAGAGTCCATCAGTTCTATATTCTGTTATTATTTGTGAAAAACGTCAAGTCGCATCGACTAGTCTAGACTCAGATCATGGTCTATCCTTCCGACAATCCTCGATCGACCTATCTCCATGCAAAATCAGAATATATGTTTATATATACCTACTTAAGTACTTAAGTATATATATATGTAACTTGGCTATCGATATCGATATTCTAATAGTATCAGGTATTCAACAATCTAAACATCCCCTCGGCTCATCCCATAATGATGCCTTTTTCAGAGCCCCAATGATATAACCGCCTTTCTTTGCCGCATTGGTCTCTCTACTCTCTCGAATAGTCAATAGATATATATATCTATACAAAACAGCCGATACGTATGCACCTTCATCATGTCTACATCAAAGATTGAAATCCCTTCGTCCAAATTCCTCCGAGGCAACCACACCGGCCTTGGCTACTGTGCATGCTCAAGATGCGGCCGAGAAGGTCAAATTATCTGCCAATCCGTTCGAATCAACCACATTGAAGAAAAACGGCTCGAGCTAGAAAAGATCAAGCTCAGCTTACCTCAGTATATCGGCCTACCGGTAACGCCGGGCGAGAAGAAGCTAGAGTACGAAAAAATCCGTGAATATGTTCTGATGGAGACTGGGAAAACATTTCCGGTACAAACGGAGGATGAAAACTTAGACCCCGTCAAGCAGACTAGGTGTGTTAAACTTTTTTTTTTTTTCGCCAGTGGATCAAGATATACTTGACTAACATGGCGTCGCCTTTTGTCGGAAAAAGCCAGGAACTTATGAATCCCCAGGCAATTGCAGTGGCTAATACTTTCATGAACGTGTATTATCCCGACCATCGCGATAATACGCTAGAAGCGAAAGATATACACGGTCCGGAGGGCAAACTACTTGAGTATGCCTTCGAACATAGAGTTCGATTAAAATATTTAGAGATTGTTTCGTTGTGGAAGCGTATCGAGAAATTCCATGGGGATCATCAACATGGCTCAACCAGAGGGACGATATCGATACCGCGTAATAAAGTTGTGGACTCCAGGGAGACTTTGCCGGAAACCGGCACACCTGCGACTCGACGTTGGAAGCGCTTGAATTACCTTAACCTCGATGAAGAACCTAACTTCTTCCCTGGCGTTGTGACAGACATTGGACGCATAATTTGGCTTACGAGACAGGCAATGGAATATGACGGAGAGCTCCTTGGTCGGTATAACAGAAGGGAACTTGACTCGATGGCACTTGAGCTTTTTATGAAGTTTTATCTCAGTGAGTTAGGAGGTAAGGCAGATTTTATGGACTTTATGAGTGTTAGCAACATGACGGCGCCAGATTCTCGGAGTGCTTATTCTACCTTTCTGGTACGAGAGTGGAACGCGCAAATACATCAAGACCTCAAGGATATTACAATTGCGAGGTTTACCGGTGAATGAACTGCCGAACAAGCCGCCGCTCCCGATTTTAGAAACCTAGGGTCTGGATCTAGGTCTTCATAATCGGAGAGCTCTGCTTATTATGTAGAATACATTCGGGAAGTTGAGTCAACATTAGGTAGCTAGAGAATTAAAGCACTCTCGGAGAATTGTTGTTGTTATGTTGGGTGAATGCAAGGGGTTAACAAGGAATACAGCTCGATTTGCTATACCTAGGCAGTACAAGCGATACAGCCCCAGGCTATCCTATCATGGGTTCAGGTTCGGGTTCTTTTTCATCGTCATCCTGCAGCGTAGATTAAAATGTTGGAATGTTGGCTGTTCGATGTCTAGCGAGCCAGAAGTTTTCATGGCCCTTTCGGCCTCTTTTGTGTAACGCCAACTACCAATCGCAACATTCCTCTCTTCACAACAATGCAATAAGTGTCTCGGCTGCTAGTCGTTCCGATGCCGAACAACCTCATCTGAGATACCAGCCTCCACCTTAGCCCGGAAAACCAGTCTTCTAACCCCGACTTCGAATGTATATCTATACGTTTAGCTTAGTGGTAAAAAAATATCCCTAGTTGATTATTGAGCTACTCTAGGGGCTATGCTAAGGGAGAGCAATAAGATGTATCATGCAATGTCGCTAATAAACACTAATCACCTTTTCTGTCAACATTCGCCACACAAACTTCTCCCATCCTTCCAAATAATTCCCATGTAGAAAAAAGAAAACAGGGCTTCTTTTGGTTGAAATAAAAAGGAAAAACCAAAAACCCCATCCCTCCATAACGTGACCGAAGAGGAAAACGCGTAATTATAAACCATACTGAGCAGAGGAAGTAGAAAGGAAAAAAGTATATATATCCATCATGGAAAGGAAAAGGACATTGCGGGCAATTCAAAGAATTTCGTCATCTCTTTATATGAAAGTCTTATAACTGGGAGACGAAAGCACCGCAAAGGATGGATAGGAGCATGATGCTGAAGGTATAGCTACTTCCAATTTTGATAGCTGAGCTGGGTTTGTCCTCCTTTTTGCTACCACCAGTCTCAGCTGGGGCATCATCATCATCAGCAGGGCCAGTAGTCTTGGATCCACTCTTGTCAGTTGTTTTGGCATCGTAAGCGGCATCGTCACCATCATCATCGCTGCTGGTGTTGGATGGTTCTGGGGCGCTGGTGGTCTTGTCGGATCCGGTGACGGTGCTAGTTGCACGGGTAGGGTTGGAAGCACCGCAGATACGTCCAGTTCGGCAATTTTCAGCACAGGTGGGGTCGCTAGAATCAAGATTTTGTTAGTGTGAACATATTCGCTGGTTTTATAGTGATTAAGTGGGTATATTTGGCTTACAATTGTCCACAGTTCTGGATGCAGTTCTGGACCTGGTAGGTGCAAAGGAAGTATGGGACTAGATGTAACAGTTAGACGTAGTTCCGTTTAAACAGGGAATCCATGTATATAGGATTGAACACATACTAGTCTGGGAGTACTCTGTGGTGTTAGGGGTAGTGTTGTCGGCGCAGATACACTGGTATTGGAGAGTTTCGATATCGCAATCATTGACGAAGCCGCTGCCAGACTTTTGATCAAGGCAGAGAAGACCGCAGGAAGAGATCTGGTTGAGACACCATGTCTGCTTGGTACCAAGGTCGATTTCCTCAGGGTCGACAGGGAAGTACGTCTGGGCAGAGACAGCGCTGAGGAGGGAGGCCAGGGCGACCACGACGGATGTAGAGAAATACATTGTGATTGAAGTTGTTTAGTAGTCTAAATTTATTTATCACTCTATATATAAGTATGTTTCTCATGAAGAATCTTTGTTTGATTGATTTGTTTGGGAGTGTCGTGTGATGATGATGGTGAGGATGATGATGATGATGATGATGGTAGTGATGAAGGTGGTGATTGTTATATTTTGGAGCTTTGTGTCGGAAGGTTTTTTGTTTACTCACGGGATTACCTAGAAACTGCAATGAAGAGTCGGTTGTCTGTCGGAGTGGATGATGATTAAGATATTAAACTTATTAGATACTTCGGACTAACGAATGTGGTGAAATTTAACTGGCAAAAAAATTTCAAAAAAATCAAATTAAAATCTCAAATAAAAACGAAGGACTGGAAGTATGCTTGACGACACCCGCAAAGACTGGAAAAATCTCGTGAAGTGAGGGAAGGGAAGGGAAGGGAAAGGAAGGGGAATATAATCGGGAGAAAGGAGGGTGGTTTTATTTGACCTTGCAAAGCCGAGATTGCCGTTCTCCTCACTCTCTGCACGCCCCCTTTCCAAGCCCGGCCAATGGCAATGTCACTAAACATTCTCTGCAATTTTAGTCGCAAGGGAAGGTTCTCTTCATTGAAATCTCAATCTCAATCTCAATCTCACTCACCCTGAGACCTTAGGCTTTGGATTCACTGCTAATCCCGAAAGGGCCGTCACTAGTGCTTAATTTGCGTTCAATGCGCACAGCCTGTGTATCAAAAATATGGATCCTCGATCGAATGCTGCACTGTGATCTCAACAGCATCTCGAGAATAGATATCTTCATACAATTACCAGCAAAGAGTACAAAATAAACTCGATTCCCGAGTGCGCACGTTGTACAGGTACATCACATACCATCACATTGCAAGCGTGGTGTGTGCACGACCTTTGTCTATTTTTATCGCCACGATGTTACTCTCATCGACACGCTAAATTCTGATTCAAAGAATTTCGACCCGTCTACTACCACCAAATGTACTCAACCACCACCATATTCTGGTTCACGAGACTCTTTTTTTCTCTCTCTCTTTGGGTCATCATCACATTTTTTTCCCCCTTCCAGGTTTGTTTGACTGACAGATGCAGGCAAAACAATGTCCTCGCCAAACGCAATGGAACCGTAACAAGGGTCCAGATCCTGGGCATTATTTCAGGCCATTATTTACCCATTCAAACACCACCACCATGCACGCCTCCCCCAGAACCTTCTGCCCGACCCGTCCTTGAAAGGCCATGGTTTAAATTGTCAACGGCTGTGGCCCCCATACAAAACCCAGCCTGAAATGGCAGCTGGTCCATCGTCGTCGGTTTGACTTCGCCCGGAATAGGTTTTTTAAGCTGTGGCAACGGACAATAATTCCATGCTCAAGGCAGGCATTTTGCAAGCGCACTTTCAAAAACAAGGGCAGGAGAAGGGTAAATGCCATTCTCAACTGGACCTAGCAACTGTATGTATGCATGTATTTACTGTGTATGTATGCACCCCATACTAAGCTGGAAATATGTGCTGGGACAAAAGAGAAAACGGCTGAAATTCTACATATCCATTTGTTCTCACACAGCTGCACAGATGCATTTATACCGTGATAATTCTTCAAAGAATACACGAAGAAAAACAGAATCCGCTCGCGGACAAAATGCCATTTTTACAATAAATAAAAAAAGCCCATACCCAAAAATCCAAAAACGATTGACCCCGTACATTAAAAAAATAAAATCAAAATACAGGAAATACGTAATGTATGCACAGCATAAAAGAAAGACTAAGAAGGAAAGAAAGAAAGAAAAACCTCGGAGAAACGGCTCGATCCCGTTTTGGCCCCACGCGAATGCTTGCAGGAGATATCCGGGACGCATTTCCAACCCATGCGGCTGCAACTGGAAATTTCCGTCAACACCAGGACTTCAGCGCGTTTAAGCGTCGTCAGTAACCTCGATTGTTGGGATGTCGGTGGCGAAATGACGGGCTTCGACACCAGCAGTCTTCGTAACACATCGAGCTGTTGAGTAGAAGCTCAGGTTAGCGGCTTTCTTTCTATAAAATATCAAAGATATGATTCATATAAGGTAGCTTACTAGAAGTTCGCGAGGCCGTCGATGTCGAGGTTGTCCCATTGGCCACAATTCGAATCCTAGTTTTGATCACAACCCGAACACATGCTCGAGTTGTAACGGCTCTGGGCTCTAAATCGGCTATCGGGGCTGCAAATCCCATATCAGACGAGAAGAGCATCGAAATAAATAGGAAGATAGAAAAGAAGGTGTAGATATTTCCGTTGAACATTTTTAATTTTAAGAGGCGGTATTCGAGACTAATTAGGCTTGGTAGGTATTGAGATATAAGAGAGTTCAAATAGGTAATCTCTAGACTTGGTTTATCTACCTAATGATTGATATTGGAATGATATTATGATACTGATCACGAAGCTCTTAATTCGAACCCTCGCGGCTCTCTTTTATAATTTCCAGAGTTCCTATCAGCTCATTGCAATACCGACTACTAGAATAATAGCCCAAATATTGATATCAGTAAGCATCTCCATCGATACCAAGATCAGCTCATAGATATCTAGATTTAAATCATGAAACAACCTCGCATACATCAGACATTAAATCCAAACCCATCTGGACAATCGGACGAGTATCGGGATTTTGCGATATCGATATCGTCAACATATCCATAACGGAACTTTTTTTAATAATAAAAAAAATAAAAAAAAAAAACATTCCGCAACGGTGAGAAATTCAAAATGGTGAAAAATATGTGAATAGGGTGGTATTTCGTCCCCACGTCCTGCCTTTTTTGGACACCTTTTGTTACCGGTATATCCATGTTGTGTGTGCGCCGCCGCAGACAAGAACGACGAGTGATGTGCAGGGTCTCCACAATTTTGACATATCGATAGAAACACCGAAACGTTCTGTGAGGTTCACATTTGCTACGCTTTTCCTAATTCTCCAGTCCTGGCAACGGTTTCTGAAGCGTAGCGAAATGCTCAGGCCTCTAATGCGCAGATCAAATACTAACTATCAGATGGAAGCGCACTAACTCATATATCCAGAAACATCATCATAGCGAGAATCAACTCGCAAACTACCAAACAAGCTACGACGGAAAGGTTAAGTAGCCATTTTCGCCAGCATCAAAAATCCACATTCATTATCCCGATTAATCGGACCTGAAGAACGCCTCAAACACCAAAATAGTGCTAGCTAATAATACAATCCGATTTCGGCAATTTTTGAGCACCAGCACTTCATCCGAAAATCTCAACCAAAAGCAGAACATTCGTGAAAGAAACGCCATTTGAAATGCCCTCGGAAACAACCTTACATATCAGTACACCAACATCCAAGAATAGAGATCCTTGTTTAGGAAAACCGTTCGTCAATTATTTCCTACCCGTTGGCCTAACCTTTTCTAAAGACTTAACCAACGATGCCTTAAGCACCTTATTAGCCGCCCACTGCCCACTGAATATCTTCATCCTTTGGACAGCAAGGACTGCGAGTGCAACAGTCTTCAGCTTCGGCCTCTTCTGTCGGGACCTCCTATCAACGAAAATACCCATCTCCTCAACCATCTGTCGCTGTAATTTATTGCTATAGTGAGAGTGGTTGTTAGTCGACTCCATAGTGTTTAGTAAGCTGTGCTGGGTAAAACATACCATGCGGAATACATCTCCATCTGTTTAAGGAAGTAGTGTTTTTGGTACGCTAGATCTCTCTTGAACTTCTCCTCACGCTCAATCCTAATCCTCAGCCACTTGATCTGCGTGGCCAATCCTCTCATCTCAGCCTTGTGGTTCTTTTGTTGTTCATAAGTAACAAGTTGCATCTCTTTCTGTGTCAGAACGTCATTCTGTACCACTTTCTGCTCAAACAAGTTCCTCTCGTCGTCCCAGACTTTTTGCATATGCGTAAGTTTCTCCTGGGCACGTTCGAGACGAGACTGCGATTTCAACAGAGCTTCCTCAGCTTTGGTGGTCTTTTCTTTCAGCTTTGACCGGTCAGATTTCAATGCCTTGATCCTTGCCACGAGCTCACTCTCACGCGCAAGCATGAGATCCAAGTCGCTGTCCTTAGTTTCCACGTCGCCCTGCAACTGTTCGATTTGTAGTTTCGCATTCACGAGGTGTTGGTGGAGTTCCCGTCGTTCAATCAGTGCATCAGTATCATCAGGGGCAGGGCGTGATCGATTGGATTTTGTTTCCTTAAGATCGGTTTCTAACCTGGCGATGCGCTGACGTTGGTCTCGGATCTTCTCTTTAAAATCAGCTTCACGTTTCTTTGAGTCGTCAAGATCCTTCTTGATCTCCGATAATTCCATGGGATCAATGAGGTCGGCCTGTGCATCCTGAAGTTCGCCGATACGGGTTTCGAGTCTAGCAGCCTCACGCTTAGCGAGACTTAGCTCTCGGTCTCGTGCGTCGCTGAGTGCCCTTACTTGGGCCTTCAGCTCAGAAATCTCGTCTTCTAACTTCTGCTCGTCTGTAACCGCTTGAGTCATTGCCTCCTCCAAATTCAATTCCAACTCTTCAGCCTTTGCGAATAGCTCATCGCGTTCATTAGTGAGAGACTGAAGGCCTCGCTCCAGCTTGTTCTTGGCCAGGCGTAGTTCAACTTTCTCTTGATCCATTCGAGTACGGGTACCGATCTGAGTTACTAGGTCCTTGATTTGTGCTCTCAACTCCTCCCGCTCGATCTCTAGCTCTTGACAGTCGGCCCTCAACGATGCAAGTTCCGCACCGCTGTTCAAAAGTTGTTCGTGGAGACCTTGCCTATCTTTAAGCGCAGATTCCAACCTCCTTTCCATATTGGCCAGGTCAATCTTCAATTGTTCCTGGGATAGAGACCCGTTCTTCAGCGAATCAAGAGAGCTCTGGTAGTTCAACTGCTCGTTTCTGAGTTGCGACTGAGCAATCGCAAGTGTGTCCTTGTATGTCTTCACTTCGGATTTCAGGGTCCCGCATTGGGACTCAGCGTCTGTAAGCTGTTCCCGAATATCCCTCATCTCGATGGAGTGATTCTGTGAAGCTGATCTGACCTCCTCTTCAAGTGTGCGAATCCTGTCATCCAACGCTCTCTCATTCTTGCGAACCTGGCGAAGTTCGTCTTTAGCTACCTGGAGCTCACCGGCATTCTTCTCGAGCATTTGTCTTCTTCTATCGAGATCGAGATTAAGGTCCGTGATCTGGAGGTTCAAAGATGCTATCTCCTCCCCATGAACAGCCTTTAGTGACTTCATCTCGTTCGCCAATTTCATCTCGTGGCCGTGGAGTGTGCCTTCAGATTCTCGCAAGTTGGTGATTGTTTTCTCATAACCCTTAACCTTTTGTTCAGCAGTTGTGAGCCTAAGTTCTAGCTGTCGCTTTTCAGCGCTCCAGTCATCGGACTTGGAACGTAAGTCTTTGTTTCTAGTTTCTAGGGTGGACCGGAGTTTGTCGATCTCGCTTTCGAGGACATTTCGGTTGCCGGAGAGCTGAGCCTTTAAGGACTGTTCGATGCCTTGCGATTTTTGTTTTTCGTTGGCGAGACTAGATTTGAGATCACCAAGCTCTTTGGTAAGTCTGTTAAGGTCTTTCTGCAGCTCTTGACTCTCAGTAGTCAACGCATTATGTCGAAGCTGGAGGAGATTCTTCTGACTTTCCGTATCTTCAAGATGTCGCTTGGTTCGTTCTTTGCCCTCTTGGAGGCTAGTGATTTCGATTTGAAGTGCTTTAACGTCACCGCCGAAGTCGTTGGACAACTCTGCAATACGCCTCTTAAGAATATCGACCTCAGAGGATTTCTCGCGATGTAAGGTCGTCATAGAAGCCAGGTCCTCCTGAAGTTTCACAAGATCGCTCTGTAATCTCTGGCGACTATTTTCGCGGTCCTGTGCTGTACTCTTCATATAGACCGAGCGTTCTTGATGATCATCCCTAATTCTCTGAATTTCTTCCTGGTGCTTCTCCACGAGGACAGCCATTTCTTCTTCGATACGATTCCTTTGGCTAATAGCCTCGTCGATGTTGTCCTTAATGTCAGCAATTTCGTTTTGAAGTCTTCTATTGTCATGTTCTAGATCCATAACCTTGTCGGCGAGTTCGTTGTCACAGCCCTCGCGGTCAGTATCCATGGTTGCCAATCTCAGTTCCAAAGAATCTTTCTGGTCTTGGAGTGTCTTCATGGCTTGTTTCTTCTGCTGATACTGCTGTCTGGCACTGGCAATCTGGGCCTCATGTTCATCTTGGAGAGTTTTTATCTCCTCGTCCTTCCCGGAAAGCTCCTCTTGGAGCTCTTGAATTCGAGCTTGGGCATCTTCCTGTTCGTTGCCTTCTTCATCATATTTGGCCTGCAATTCTTCCTCTAGCTCCCGGATACGATCCCGGAGGTGGTCGTTTTCCTTGTCCTGAGAATCCTGACGATTGTCCAATTGTTCTTCTTTAGCCCGTATCTCAGCCTCCAAATCCTCCTTCTCCCCTTCCAAGTCAGCCACTCTTCGGTTCAAGGACTCGATGGTCTCAGCATCCTCTCGCTCAGTTCCATCTCTATCTTGAAGCTCAAGTCTGAGCCTTTCGTTTTCATCTTTGAGCATACCCATCTGGCTATTCTTGTCTTCTAGCTCCGCCATTAAATCGCGGATCTTCGCCTGATCAATTTCCGCCTGTTTACCTTGGGCGATTTTTTTCTGGGTGCTGGCTTGGGCACTTTGTGCATCTCCCTGAAGTTCCATAACGAGTTTTTCGGAGTCAAGAAGTGCCTTCTTTAATCGCTTCAATTCTGCACGTAGAGTAGTATGCTCGACTTTCATTTCAATGTTCTATCTCAAAGTCAGATTTACTTTGGTTCCAATATCACCACTAAACAAAGACAGTACAAGTCACATACCTCTCGAATAGCAACATCGTTGAACTCCGGTCCGAGCTTGTTCAACTTTTCATCCAAAAAGAAAATTTTCAGTTTCAAACTGAAATTCTCCTTCTTAATATCATCGATAATCTAAAGTGAGGTGTCAGCAATTTAAGCTCTATTGATGATTGCCAATCTCAATCTATTACCTTCTCCTGTTCCCTCAGTGTCAATTGCCCATCATCAAGCATTCCAGCTTTACCTCCAATCCTCGGTATCGGGGTCGAGACATCTCCAGAATCATCGTTATGAGGACCGAGCGGTGTACTATCATCATTATAAGATGAAGCATCAATCCCTGAGCTATCCCCTCTCGGCAGCGGCGTGCCTCCCGCGTACAATTCCATATGCTTAAGACTCATTGGCGTCCTGGCAACCGCAGCATTGATTCTTGCATCGATCTGTGTACCCATATTGCTCTTATGAACTGATTTGAGAAGTGGTGTGAATTCACCAGCGGATTTCCGATTCGTTTTATCACCCAGCGGGGGGCGCGAAGGGGTTGTAAGGTTCAGAATGGATTTAGGAGCACCAATAGATAGTACTCCACGTTTTTGCTGGTTCTTGTTGCCCACCAGGCCGGGACGAAGGAGGTTGTCATCTTTCGGTTGGACGAAGGTCTTTTCCGGTGAGAATTTGGGACTACTGAAGCCAACGGCGCCTGTTACGTCCAGATGGGATGGAGAGTTGAAAAATGCTGCCATGGTGAAGATATCGAGCAACAAGACTCGCGTTTCAAGAAGGGTGTGTTTCGAAGGACTAAATCAACATAGAACTAGGGAAGATTTTGAAAATGATGTAAATAGTTTGATCCTGAATCCTGTATAGGCTGAGAATAATTGACGGCTGACAAGCCGCATTCAAATGATGCGGTTAAGGTAATATATTGGTCGTGTCGAAGTTGGATATATTGCAAGGAATGCTAAGATCTCCACTATAGGTTTCGAGGTTGTGTTGTGCCTGCCAAAACATAAACAAAAACAATAGGCGTGGACGGTGTCACGTGAATAGACTTTGGCTTCCAAGACTGGAACGCTAGCCCAAAGCGAAAAAGTGCTTGGCCAACACATTGTCGATACAAGATATCCAACAAGAACAACAACAAGGCCTGGTCTCGTTGACAAGGCCCAACAGTTAAGTTTCAGGTCTATTCATCCATAGTAGCCAGTCTCGTAGCTATGAGGTTGGGACATTGAGAACATGTTTATCACCGTTTCAAGGAAAAGTCTTTTTGTGGTTATAAGGAACGAGACCAGGTTATAACAAATATTTCTATACTTGACTCTAGGTAGGTCTATAGACACAGGTGCGAATTCATGTCATGTAATGGCCATAAAGCCGACATCCAGTTGTCCCAAAAGTATATACAACGAAGAAATGAAAGCGAGCTCCTTAACGAATATCAATCTATCCCTAAACTTAAAAGTGCAAATACAACCGCACTTTATACGGCAGTGTGAAAATGAAGACGAGGATGTGAATCTGTGTCCAACGGCGCCCTTCAAGAGCAAACCCAGTGATGTTATTGACGGCTACATGAAAGATGCGGGTTTTGCATTGATAGAGATACCAGGGAAAAGCAGAAATTTATTGATAGAACCATGGTGCGCCGATGCCACTAGAGAAGCAAATGCGAGCCCCGATGAACCCTTCTTAACATGATGGAGTTCGATGATATATCGATACAATGCAACAGGGTCGTGAAATCGTGAGTCATAACGAGTGTGAGAAACATCGAGTAATAAACCTGATTCCTCGATAATGTTTGTAGGGGGTGAACGAAAAGCAAAGAACACCTATGTCTATTTACAAGACAACCAAGAACAAACTGATAAAAGAAAACGATGCGCTTTTGGGTATTTATGTACGGGAGGCAAAGAAAAGGATAGATATGGTTGATACAAAATGTCGAGGGAAAGGCGTTTGTACCTACATCCTCTCTTAGTTGCTTGGGGAGGTTCCGAGAATACCCCAGTGCTTCTCAACCTCAGCAGATGAGTTCTCGGTCTTCCAGGCCTCATCGTAAGCGGAGAGCAAAACGTAGTCATCGAGGTTTTCTGCGGCAAGCTTGAGGAACTCGGCTTGCTCGGCCTTTCCGGGAACAGCCTTGTTAAGTTTGTTTCCGGCATTGGGCCAACCAGTCTCAGCGATGATGACTTTGTGGTTGGATCCGCAAGCCTCTTGGATTTCGGCAAGCTTGTCCTTCATGAAAGTTCCGGAGGAAGCAACATCGCAGTTTTGGTCGAAGAATGGGTGAAGGTTAAGCATGACGAGCTTGTCCTCGCCGCAGAGGGCTGGGAACTTCTTGTACCAGAACCAAACATCAGTATTGCCAACATCACCAGTGTAACCGACGTCCTTGAGAGCAGATCGGGTGAGAGCAGCGTATTTGAGGGACTTAGAAACCCAAGCTTCGGCATCTCCGGCATTGTTGTTGACGACTTCATTTCCAACAGAGACGAAAGCAACACCAGACCAATCATTCTCTTCTTTTTTGTATTCTTTGTTGGCTGCCTTGACACCGGCGATGAGGGCATCGAGTTCTTTCTGAAAGCCGGCATCATCGTTCAGGTTGTAGATTCCGAGCATAACCTTTACACCGCCATCATAAGCAGCGCCCATGACATTGGCAACCTGGTCACAGTCAGTTCCGTAGATACGGATCCAGTTGTACCCATTTCCGCTATCAAGGACCTTCTTGATTTCACTTCGAGTGGTGTCCCTATCCTTGCACTTTCCGCTGTCGTGGTAGACGGAGTAGACGATCCCCTTTCCGAGCTTGCCATCTTTAGCCGCCTTCGACGGGGACTTGCTATGCTTTCCGACCTTGCCGGTGTTAGACTTAGGGGACTCTTTGGGAGACTCTTTAGATGGTGCCGGTGTTTCGACGGCCTCTTCAAGGGTTTTTGTGCTGTAATTCTTCTTCCTTCCCGCCCTAACTGGAGATGGGGCGGGTGTGGCATCAGGGTTGATGGTAGAATAGCCTGTCCTGACAGTATTCCCGTTCTGATCGAGGACCACGAAGACTTTAACAACTGGTTTGTGGACTGTAACGACAGTCACAACGGCTCTCGCGTCGAGTCTTTCGACATCTCGGCCTAAATATCGTTGTATGTTCAATTAGAGATCATGTCGCAGAAAAAGGTACACTAATACTAGACTTACGAACGGGGGTAGCAATAACACCAGAGAAGATGCTTGCTGCGGCAACAGCCCAGATAGCGAGACGTGTAGCGACCATGCTGATTGACGAGATGGTATATATATAGAAGTGTGTTTTTTGAGTCTGAAGATCACAATGGAGGCCAATTGTTAGCAGCGAAAGACCATTGAGGCTGAAAACGAGCTCAAAAGTACGAATGTTCGAACGAATGTAGCAAGATGTCAAGAAAGCATGGCGAAGAGAGATATAAGTGATGCAATGATCAAGATGGGGGTTGTTAAGGAGATGGACGAAATTAGTGGTGGAGCACACGATAGACGATATCGACTGAAGGATGGGCAGCGATGGATCATGGATTAGACGTCTATAAAACGGACACCCACGCCAACCCAACGAGACTAACGTATGCGCATGGCAATGCAACGCCCATCCACCCCTCCACCTTCTAGCACAACTCCAAGGATACAAGCGAACGTTCGATTACAATAAATATCTCTCAAAAAAGCGGTCGTAAAAATGAAAATACTCAATATGCAACGGCTAATGACTTACAACTTCTATGGGCTGGTTTAGGTCGGTAAGTTAGGATGCCTGGTGGGTAACCTCTTGTGAGACAGGCGGACAGGCTTGCAATATAAGAAGTGGATATTTGCTCCGCAATATCAACCTCTACCTAATGACAGAGCGGGGTAATTTCAAGATCTAGCTAAAGAATCTTGAACTCGGATAGTATGTCTTCTTGTTCTTAGTATGTTCCTTCCCAAGAGTACTTGACCCGAGACGTGACGTTAAGGACTGTGTGTTCGTTAAAAAATAAAAATAAAAAATGAATGCTAATTATCCACTAGGGACAATTGTCGATATCCAGCAACAGGTAAAAGGAATGTGGGCAGCTAAGTGCTCCAAAAAGGAAGGATGATGCCAAAGGAGAGGTTGTAGATGCGATGGTCTTGAGAAAGGAAAGTTATAGAGGGGGGCATGGAAGATATCTTATATACGTTTCAAAGCTAAGTGATTACCTCTAGCCTAGTCTAGTCACCTACTTCGAACTCGAGAATTAGAACAATTCTGTTGACTGACACATTCCTTTTTCTCTGCATCCATACTACTATGTACGCTGTATGTACCCAGGTAGTAGTACGGTCTATGCAGCCTGGTTTCCCCACATAGCTCCTCGCCTTCGTACCACCCAGCCCTTGGGAAACTGCCCCTCATTCCGTGAGAACACCAGAAAAAAGGAATGAAACAATTGCCGAGATCGAGCTTTCACGGGATTAATTAACTTTACCCGCCAAAATCGCCGGCCTTGGCCGCATGGACAAGCTTAAGGGTGAAAATAGACTATCGGTTTTGAAAGCGAACGCTCCGTAGCCAACAGGTACTTTCAAGCTATGTTAAGAACATCTATGCGCGCGGTCTGTTGTTGGAAACAAAGACAGATAGTAGCATTTGGTATGGTGGGCGCCCGATGCGAATGTCAGGGGTAGCTTAGCAGTTCTTAGCAGTTCCGCCCTTGCCTGTCATCCACACCTCATGGCCTCATGAAACCGCCGCTGCTCCTTTTGACAGGGACCTGGATCACCCAACAAACCTAACCTCTCGGCCTGTGAGTGAAGCTTACGACAGAATGCCGAATATGTTAACTGGCCCGAACCACAGCTATCTCTTCGAAAAAGGGATGGATCATTGCGAAACTCATGACCTTAGCCGTCGTCATCCATCGTCAAAGCCATCTCTCCTTTACGCGTCGACATTGCAGACGATTCGGATCTCGACGTAAGGCAACTCCAGTGAAGCAGCCTCCTAGCGTGATGGCACACAAAAAAAAAGTCAACTTTATGGGTCGGACCAAGCGGGCTGTTAAGCTGGAGACATCTGTAACTCGAGATCTAAAATCCTTAGATCCCGGCCCACATGCAGGTACGAGAAATTCGCTCTGCCGCATTACCTAAGTCCCACTTTGGAAGGAAACTTTACACACAGCACACCCGAACACCCAACCGAGTCTGACGGCTTTGAGCGATAAAAATGGTACAGTTCGTATCGTATACCTTGAAGCACAGAAATCCATTTACCCCACATAGAGAATTCAGGCAGCTCTTCCCTCACAAGGTGCTATATGGCGATATTCTTAGCCTTGAGATTCACAAGCCGACGAGAAAGATGGCACTAGGAGTGTGTTGCCCATTTTCGACCCGTCTGCGCCCGGATTCGCAGGTCTACCCCTGCCATGGCTGGACCTCCTTGTTTCCGTTTGTCCTCTTCGTTCCTGCATTGGTCAGCCTTGTTTTTGCCTATCAAACCCGGCCAATGGTTATAGATGGCGCCGTCCCGGCTCTGCTTGCACCCGTCGCTCTTTTCCTTCTTTGACAATGATTTATACAACGTGTACGACCAGGCGCCCCGGTTGCTTCAGTAAGATCGACACAGATAGCAGTTAACGATTAGATTCGATTCAAGGGAATTCGGGTTTATCGATAGCTATTGTCTCCCAATATCACTTCTGTGGGAGACAAAGCTTTTTTTTTTTTAGCTGCTGGATATCACAAGCATGGTTACACCTGCCGATGAAGACTTTCGTCGGCAATACCAGCCAACTCCCTTGTGATGTCGGTTCGAATGGAGCATACACAAGCAACACGGCATTAATTGCCGATATGTGTATTATACCACGAAGGTTTCTGGCTAAACGGCCATACTAGCGTTGTCTTCCATGAGCTTGTAAATCTCGTCACGAGTTTATATATTCCGGACTACAGCCGCTTATATCTTTTTTAAGATATCGAATTGATCCAACAGGCTAGATTCTCTGCACTTCTGTTCACAAAATACATCGGCCTGAGTATGTTTACTCATATTTCGACGGGTGGTATATCCCAGCCGCCGTCATCATTGAAAGCCCAGGCAATGCTTGTGCTTCTAGATTCCATACCAATGGGTGGCTAGGCCCGCCAAGCCCATGCTTCATGAGCTTTTTACCCAATTCGTCTACAGGGATCACGATTTTAAGGTTTCCAGTTACATTCTTTCATGGAACTCGCAAGGAAGATTTTGATATATCACGCCAACCGGGACGAAAGGTAATATCGCCGCGGGACGTCCCAGCTTGGCCCTAGCGAGGCAGAAGCTCTGTTCAGATCAATTGCTCTATCAGGAAGCTAAACAAGAGCCGCAAAAACTAGGACTCGACCGATAAGTTTCAAAAGTTTTTTGAGGATTCTTTTTTGGCTTCCGTCGTCAGCCGGCTTATTCTCGAGATATAGACCTATTCCTGCACCCGTCATGCATATGCAGTAGATGGCACATGAGAAGAGCGAAAACATTTGGGTATACAGCTACTTTTTCGTGCCGTGGAATATGTGCTTTTACCGACCAACAGTTTCCAAAAACAAGAATATTACGCCCCGTCTTATGCCAATGTTGTGACAGCTATGCATGGTTTGACCTGTGTTGCCAGTAACCCGCCACATCGATGCATCACGAGAAACGAAGGGTTAACTTTGTTTTGAGGCAGTCAGCATCGAGCTGCGGAAATAGAGAACCCGTTGTACAAATATAGCCCGAGTTCTCCACTTTATTCGCAGCGTTTGGAAGATTATCATCTTTGTATTTCCATTAGAAATACATACTCTTACGTTTGGATTCGGGAAAACCTTGAATTCGCGAATTCAAACAGTACCCGAGGAACTTCGCCACTCGCAACATCTATCCATCTTTCGGATAGACTCTACTTTGCCGCAAACTCGCGACAACGAAAAGCGGGGCAACAGGATAACCTTATTATTATCTGTAATGATATAGATATATGCGTGTCTGGGTAGATTAACCTCATCAGCCACGGGAAAAGCCTAATATGTATTTTCGAAATTCGAACGTCAGCTGTGCAAGCTTGAGAACCCACAAGCTCGGGGAAGGGATTTCAGACCGACCTGTATACCAGCCTCCACAAAAAAAAAGACAAGCTTTAATCCAAGCTTCATTTGTCCCCAGAATGTGGGTATACAGACAATTGTAGCCAACTGGCATCTGGACACGAGACGAACTGCACAACCGGTTTTTTTTTTTTTCTTCTTTTTTTTTGTAAACCAACATCTTAGAATACATTAATGCCGTTCATTTTGGGAAACGAAATATCAAGCTTGCAAGATCGATATATGTTGACACTTGGTCCGATGCATTGCCCAACGCTAAGATACTTATAAATTATGACTGCTCACGAAAATTGAAACTAAGATACAACCTAACAAGTGGAGGGCCGACAACCTAAGTAACCGGAAACATAGTCAACATGACTTGATAGTCACATCAATCTGGTCTCCGTGGATCTTTAATTACAATTCTTCGATATTATATAATGTCATGCTATGGTAGCAACGCAGAGTCCAACACCTTATTTTGTTGTAATATTAATAGTAAGATTTGTGTGAAGATACCAATCCATTCGTTCGAGGAGCTAGGTATCCGGTAGTGAGAAAGGCAATTCGACTTGTGAGATATATTCCTACAGGTAAATATATTCTAGCCTTGCCATCTATGTAAATCACTCGGCAGCTTTACCATAGGGTGGCCTCAAGATTTTGAACTTAGCGAATGTCTACGTATATACTTGTTTCGGGTCGCGGATAGAGGCAGTGCGATATCATCCACGGTGGCACACACCACTCCTGGTTCTGATATGGCGGTTAGAAACCGTGGTACTGTTGTCTAGATGTTGTCAATTAGTGGCGTGAGACCTTGAGGCCGAGGTGATGTGTATGCTCGGGTCCGGGTACCGGTTATGTTCTAGGCTTCCTGCGATGTAGTCACAAGTATACGGTCTTCGTAAGATAATAACAGAAATGAAATGGAAGAACACGAAAAATAAAAACTAGAAAAGAATAGACGATTGGTGGGGGCCATTTCATCAATCTCACCGAGGTTATTTGTTGGCCATGTAGACAATACAGGGCACATGAATATCTCTACATCTATGCATTATAGACAACAGGCCTCGACTTCGGAATTAATTTTGCGAGGAATAACAGGGCACAATAACATCAACACCAGTGATACTGCCCTCATGACCACCTAGACTTCGAGGCTAGTTAGTTATTATAGTGTGGCGAGTGGTAGTTCGTTTGGACGAGAGGATACTTACCAGCTCCTCGTGTCTCGTGGGTTCTTTTACCGCACGGAGATATGTACCACTAGTTCTCTGTTTAAAGCAAGTTAGAACACCTTGTAAATAGATATTGCGTATCGGGAACAACAGAAAATATAAAATTAAAAATCGCTCAGGGTGACCTACGGGTTTGATTAAATTTGCGGCTGATGTGAGCGTTCAGAGAATGAATCCCTCCAGGTCCGATAGCGTGGCGGCGGATATATAAACGCCCCCCCTTTGCATCGCTCTTTGAGCAAGCAGTTTTGGCTTCCTCCTGTTCCACTTCACCGCCCCAATAAAAACCGAACCGTCATCGGTTTCGGTTTCGGTATCGCTACCGACGGCCGGGCAGGTGCTTGACCCACCCTCGTCCCACTGGAAATTCTCGATCTCGAGATATTCCCAGCCGGGACAGTCCTCCTCAGAGGACCGGACCGTCTCCTCATCGAGACGATGTCCCAGGACACCCCTCTCCTGTGGGATGCACTTTGCATTTTGTGAATGGGGATATGAGTACTGTCCCCCGGCAGTTTCGGTAACCGAACCTTGGCTTTCGGCTGGTTGTAGGTCGTCGATACCCAGTCCAAACTCCTCTTCGAACGACGCCAGTTCGAACTGGCCGGGGCCGTTCTGGCGGACAATATCAGGATGGAAACAATAGAAGCACGACCCTGAGCAACATTTTGCTCTCTCCAATTGGCGAGCGACCTGACGGGCCATCAGGTACTCTAATGACCAGTGTGCTTCTTTGACAAGGTGTGGAGGGACCATTTCTCTATATCACGAAAGATATTATCAGTTTCCAGCATCAGTGAGGTTCACGTATACGCATAGAGCGCTGTTAGAGGGCATATACCTGCAATAGTCTGATTAGATTTTAAAGCTGTTATTTTTGACGCGTAGGGCTGGGAATTCTTCGGGAGCTTTATACAGGTGATGTTGATTGAGCTGTATTGGTTTTGTGTAGATGGTGCTGAAGAATGGAAAGGGTTGGTTAAGGGCCTGAAGGAAGAATATTCGTGGCAGAAAAGACGTTGCTGAATTCGGGTTTCTGTTAAGGATGAATTATACCTAAGCTCAGCGACTTTGGCGTACCTACTATATCCTAATCACAGTGGTTCTCGATGCTTCCTTAGACTCTCTACACTCTCACTACTTCTCTAGACCTCGGCTTTATCTTCTAAGGACATGCTAATAACCTCCTTCTTGAGATACTGTGCATTTTGCATTCTGTTGATAAGCATGCTAGCATATTCAGCGTTTCAATCTTGCTTGCATTACATAGTTTCTATCGATCAGGGTATTCAATATGCTAGCTAATTGATCCTACATTCCAGGTCCTGTGAGATGTAGGTGTACTTTGTGCAAAGCATGGGAATCTAAGCATGTTAGAGATTGTATATTATAAGTTCAGGGTGGAGACCTAGCTAAAAGCTCGAAAAAGTCGAACGGCTTCTCTTCATGGCATGGCAGGATAAACTGGGGATCAATTGTACCTACAGGCCCAGGAGTACCTTTCAAACTATAACAGTCTTCCGCTAAAATAATTTGTGAATATTTTAGCGTCCTCCCCGAGAAAAATTATACTTTTTCCACCCCCTTCGATTTTATTATTCTTAATACCTGCGAGCGAGTCCAAGAGCGAAACAACCCCCCCTTCTATCGCCACACTGTATACATTACATAGTATACTAAAGAAATCCTCGAAAATATAGGCCATAAAGGTTAGCTAGTGGCTTCATCATATTTTATAATCCTATGGGGTGCGAACCTGACTCGATATCTCACTAAATACTCGACAGGACCCACCCCGTCTGATGGGATATTTCAGCTATTAAATCCGAGTGATATCGAGGGTGTAGACGAGACTAGTTTCACACGTGCTGAATTGGACCGATGTTATATTTTGCAGGAAGATCCGACTCTCAATCCAAAGGCCTAAGAACAATATACGTAAATACAACCTAAACCGTACATGGTTACTATCGAGATCTTCGATCAATAGATGTAATGCTGATTTAGAACCACCAATTGATCATATGCATACAAATATATCTTGCAAAGAGTATTCAGTAAATAATATTATAATACAGCTTAATAATCTCAACCAAGATACTATCAAAATATATACTATTAGAACTTGAGGTCGATGTTGTCAAGACCACTAGCAGAGCAGTAAACGGCTAAAGAGGTGATCTCGACGACTAGAGGTAAGAAAATTGAAGATAGCGATTTAGCTAGCCTCCTAACGACATGCTATCAGAAGGTAGAAAGTGGGTACGTATGAACGTCAATACAGTATCTCTTAGTCATTAATCTACCCAACCCCCAGCGAAGTTCATGTATTACGCTCTTAATTAAGGTTATTTTAATACAAATTGTTGACCTGGAGCTGATCCAGCTAAAGTAATATAGACAAGTTCGGAAGTGCTTAGCTAGATATCTTATTTCTATAGATCTACTAGATACGGTTACGCAACTAGTACTATATATGTAATCCCTATGCACATATTCGATATCGGTTGGGTACAAGAGAAGATAGAGAGTGCGCAGGGCATCGATAATATCGATCCTGATATCAATGCCATTAACGTAAGCCGATATTGTAACTTTCGTTGTGGGAAATATATATATTAGAACACTCTTCAAGTAAAAGTTGTAATTTACCAAGTAGTTTCAATTGGGTTTGTTTATATATAAATATATACTACTTTAAATTTATATTATAGACTCAGCATACCCCCTTTGTGGTATTTTGGGACAGCAATTAACCGGCAGATCTGTACGAGTCGCTTTCTAATTAGCTTCTAACATAACTGCTAATGTTAACTAGTACTATTGCAAGCTATACAGCTTCTGTTTTTCTGGAATTCTTGGCCTATAGATGGTACCTGTACCTCCGCCTCGAGCACCTAGATTCGAGGCTGGGCCTATACAGACCATGTGGCTACTTAAACTGCATATCGGGTCCTTAGGGTACGCACATACTTTACCTTGTACCGGGCACCTTAGGATATAGTCTAGAAACAAGATGGTGTCACTTGCTCATATATATCTGCTGAAGATAAACTATATAATCGCTCTATAGGAATTTATTTACCTTTAGCTTTCAGCGGGGAGTTCTAAGCTTAGGATCCATCTCAATATCTCCACATTCAAATATGTAAAGCATTAATTACTCTAGACTTGGGCCGGGTCTGTCCACAGGCTTATACAACATCTCAATATGGCAAGCTTCGGGTCAAGACGATCAATCATCCAGATTTATAGATCGGCCTTAAGGACTGGCCAGCTCGCAGCAGCAATTAATTCTGGTTTGCGAGATAAGGCCAGCTGGGTACGAGACAAGTATCCACCGCCGTAATCCCACGCCAGCGGCTGATGCGTGTATTCTCGTATACACACCCGCGCTAATATATCGACACCCAAATATCATCTGCGGTTGTACAGTTGTGCATGTATGTGCGGCGGATGCCCGTGCAGCCAACTAGCATGATATCCAACATGCAACGACCGGTTGCGTCATATCACGACGGACGAAGTACCCGTTATACTTCAACTATGCATTAGGCAGTCAGCCATTAAAATTAAAACAACGAAACACCAATGCCTCAAAATTTGATTTACTAGTCTTGAGGGGGGCTGGTTATTTTTCGAAACGTCTACAACCGTTTTTTTTCTATCGCTCGTATCCATACCACCTCCCAGCCAACCTGTTCCTCTGCGTTGCAGTTGGAATTATATTGGCTTTTACCTATATATAGCTTTATATTCGAACCTGTTATATTCATGCAATGTACTCCGCCGCACTTCCACCCCCACCCCCAGAATATTCCGTCCGGGGTTCAAACGGTTTACAAACCGAGACGTCGACGGTACACGGAAAACAAACCCCCTCCCCCAAAATTAAAGGTTTGAAGCACAATGCAAAAGCCGATAAATGCCTCAGGTTTCGAAACAACATTTCTGACAGAAAAAAAACCTAAAGATAATAGAACAGCTGCTATCCTTTCGGCCGTTGCATGGAAGATCACCGTTTTTTTTTTTTTTTTGGCATTCCTCGTTCAATAGCCCGCCATGCCCGAGGGGGGGGGTGCCCGGGAGCCGCATTGCACGTTGAACTGTTCCCCCGAGAAGTAACCGCTTTGTGCGGCACATGCACACATCGTATCACATTTGGAAATTAGATTACACTCGTCATCAACGTTGCCTCCACGGCACGGGACCGGCGCATACGTGGTTTTTTCTCAAGAAGACAAGGGATTCCCAACCAACAGTACATACGTATGTCTCCAACCAATTTCCCAGGCATAATACGATAAAACTGTATACATATATAATAACATAAGCTATACATGGGAAGAAGAGAGAGAGAGAAAAACCTTGAAGTTTAAAAAGATTAAAATGTAACCCTGATAATAATCCAGACACGGCAGAGGGCCCGAGGGGAAAGAAGGCTTAGCTCGAGCAAACGGACCAGCAAGTTTGTTTCTTTGGAGTTTCATGCCAAGTTGGGGAATACCAATGAGAAACCCATAACGTTCTAATCGGTTGCAATTACGACATCGGGTTTTGTTGGTTGGAACTCGGTAAGGGAGGCCCTAGTAAATTAAAATATATATACCAAGGTTAATAAATATTAATAGTAATATCGAAATTATCATAAATGTTGTAGGTTGTTTGGATAAGAAATTGATCCTTGTTGAGAGCTTTCTGAATACAATGGCCTTGGTTTCCACGAATCAAAGGCGATTATAGGGCACTGTCGGAACCGGAACTTATGCACGGGCTAGTCATGGCTGACACTTATGTCAAGTCTCCCTATAAGCTGACGGTCTGTACCGATACCTTTGATCCGGGAACCGAGATCCGAATGCGAAAAGGAGTCGAACTAGAATATGGATCCGTTAGCCCCTAATAACTTCTGTCAAGCTTTTTACATGGTGTTTTGTTTAGCGTCTCATAACATACCATATATACTTACAATAGAATAGTCCTGAACTGTAACGCGGCCCATACCGGAGACAATAGAGGACACTGAGTGGACATGTGAACAAAGACCGTCGATCCGGGCGGGTAGCCGAAAAGGGTAACTACCCCTTTTCGGCGAAGAGTTGCATCCGAAAGCGGAATTTCCAACATACACAACACAGTTACTATTATAGCTCTACGATAAGATTTACGATTTGGTTGAAGAAAAAGTGTTTTGGATGTCAATAAAACTCATATTGGTGAAACCAATTAAGGCAACCAACTAAGCATTCCCATTATCTAATTTGTACTATCCATCTGCTAACTACATAATTGGAAACAGATGGTCGTTTGAAAGGGGTGGTTAATATCATTACAGGATTGTGGGCAACGCAATGGGTTGTATGTATAATGTGCGAAATAATAAAGCAATCAAATGTAAATGCTTAGAGAACTAGAGAGAAAAACCAAACGCAAATGCTATGCCGAACTGAAAATGAAAAAAAAGGACTAAACCCGAACATGCGATGTGATCTTTATATGGTCATTCGCGTTCATGAAAACTTTGAGGTCGTTATGACTTCTTTTGAAGAACATTAAAGCTCTTAGTTCTTGTAACCGTAAGAACCGTAAGAACCGCCTCCATTGTTAGTTGGCTGAGCAGCCTTGGTGACAGTCTTTGTGACGGTAGCAACCTTGGTGAAGGTCTTTGTGATGGTAGCAGCCTGGCAAGGCTTAGTGTAAGTCTTGGTGACAGTCTGGTATCCGGCGTTCTTGGTGACGGTGGCAGTCTTAGTGACGGTGACGTTGTATCCTCCAACGTTCTTGGTGACAGTGGTAGTCTTGGTAACTGGGGCACCGTGAACGGTCTTGGTGACAGTCTGGTATCCGGCGTTCTTGGTGACAGTGACAGTTTGGTATCCGGCGTTCTTGGTGACAGTGGCAGTCTTGGTGACAGTGGCTCCTTGGACAGTCCTGGTGACAGTCTTGTATCCGGCGTTCTTGGTGACAGTGACAGTCTTGTATCCGGCGTTCTTGGTGACAGTGGCAGTCTTGGTGGAGGTGACAGTGGCATATCCCTGGACAGTCTTGGTGACAGTGACGGCTTGCTTAGTGACGGTGGTTGGCTGGCCGGCAATGGTCTGGGTCTTGGTGACAGTGACAGTGGAGTATCCTTGAACAGTAGCGGTCTTAGTGACGGTAACTGGCTGTCCGGCGACAGTCTTGGTGACGGTGACAGCCTCCTTGGTGTAGGTGACTGGTTGACCAGCAATGGTCTGGGTCTTGGTTACGTAGTTGGTGACAGCTGGTTGAGTCTGGGTCTTGATAACAGTGACAGCTGGTTGAGTCTGGGTCTTGGTAACAGTGACGGCCTCCTTGGTGTAAGTAACTGGCTGGCCAGCGATGGTCTGGGTCTTGGTAACATAGTTGGTAACGGCTGGCTGAGTCTGAGTCTTGGTGACTGTGACGGCTTCCTTAGTATAGGTGACTGGCTGACCGGCAATGGTCTGGGTCTTGGTGACATAGTTGGTGACAGCTGGTTGAGTCAAGGTCTGAGTCTTGGTGACATAGCTGGTAACAGCTTCCTTGGTGTAGGTAACTGGCTGACCGGCGATGGTCTGAGTCTTTGTGACATAGTTGGTGACAGCTGGAGCAGTCTTGGTGACGGTCACAGCTGGAGCGGTCTTGGTGACAGTGCAAGTGGTGGTGCTCTTGCTGGTGACAGTAACTGGAGCAGCGGTAACAGTCTTGACACTGGTGACGGTCTTGGCTGGAGCCTCAACGATCTTGGTGGAAACTATAATTGAAATCCGTTAGAACATGTTCTAGATGATGTATCTAGATATCGATATCGGTATCGATTATTGCGCAATTGAATGACTTACCCTTGGTCACTGTAGATGGTGTACAGTTTGGATTTGGGCTGTTATTGTTATAATCATACCCATATGCCTCTGGGGCGGCCCAAGCAGCCTGGGCAGAGAGGACGGCGGCCAAACAGATAGCGGAGAACTTCATCTTGAAATATTGATTTGGATAGCGAAGGAAGTTGAATTGAAAAGTGAAGAAGAGTTGGTTGTCAGCGAAAGACGATTAAAGATAAGGAAGTACTTTAGTGAATGACTGTGAAAGAAAGCTTTGTCAACTGCTGTATGCAGAAAGGTTGAAGAAGAAGCGAATGCTGGTGAGTGAAAGAAGTTATTTCATGGTGCAAGAAACAATCCTTTATATATTTCGAATGCAAATGGTGTTCACCTCCTGGCCATGACCGTCCATCGATTTGGCGGACGGTGTAAGTTGAGCCAAAAAGCAATATACCCACGCCCACATCCATAGTCCTGGTTACCAGAATTAACGACCGATATCGTGTCCCTGTAAAGTTGCCCCGAAAAATACGCCCTCAGTTACAAGGTTGCATTGCGTCCCAGAGCTAAGAGCGAGGATAGCTCGAAGGCCGCCAGTACAGAGGTACAAAGTCCTTTCTGCGACATGTCTAAATCGTGCATAACGAATGAGCGTTTTGGATTTGTGAGTGGGCTCAAAAAAGAAAAAGAAAAGAAAAAAAATCACTCTTGCACGATTCCAAAATGGGTTTCTTTGCTATTTCCATGCGCTCTGACATCCTGGGAGGTGGCTCCTCTCTCTGAGCTGGGGTTGGGTCCGAAAGGATCCCCCCCTTTGGCGGATTTGGGCTAGTCCAGACGCTTAAGCGATGAAACGAAACTAGAAGGCTAGACTTATTTTTCTTCGCGCTGAAGACTGGTACCCAAAATAATAGGCGCTGTGAGTGTCGAACTATGTATAGAGCGAGCGCTCTATTTCGAGACACTGTAAATAGCATCAGAAAAAAAAACCTCAAGTCCGAGAATCGAATCGTTGGCCTCGGGGTGATCGTGAACTAAACAAGCTCAACATACAGCGGTTGGCGTTCGACGGCGCTATTGTTTATCCAACTTCAAATAATATCTAACTTAAAATTTTTTATTTTTTTTGTTTTACCCATGGAATGAGCCAGAGTGGAAGAGAGGGCCAAAGAGAGCCACAATTGCTATCGAACCTGGTTTTTCGTTAAGTTTGTTTAATTTTACGTTATGAATGAAGCTTGAAGCAAAAGTAGGCCTCGCGCGGAGGTACGTTTCTGCGCATGAAGACGTCAATCTGTGGTGTACCCGAAGTGATTTCACGAAAACACCGACAGCAAGGCTTTGGAATAGTTGTTTAACGACGGGAAAAAACCCCTTTCGCTGGAGCATCTACACACCACAGTCGTCGAGGCGAGTTTCTTTGCAGCCAACCCTGTCAACTGCCTCGGGTTTTGGGTCCTAATGCGAAGTTCATGCGTCTAACAGCATATTTTCAATGTCCAGCAGGACATGACGTGACAGCCCCTGCCAGTCCCCTGCGAGGTGGCATTGGCCATCCAGATGCGGCGTGCGGCCATCCTGCCACATCACTCGAAGAGCACTCGCCATCTTCACCGGACTGCCACGGCGCTAACCATGAGCTTAACTGCCCTTGTCCCCAGGACTAAAAGAAGTTAATCTTAATTTATAAAAAGCCCACTAATGAGAAGAGAAGACAAGGTCGCGTCGATGCACGATTAAGTCCCGACCTGTCAAAAGCCGCCGATTTATTGCATAGTAGACAATAGCTGCCAGCTAATGCACGATGCGGGCAAAAAGTCTCGGTCACGTAAACAAGCCTTCACGATCTGACCACTGGTTGCCGTTATTCCCACATTCCTGCAATACACGCTGCTTTGCAGCGTTGCAATCGATTTCAGCCCTCACAGCTTGACGAAACACCAAGGAGCCGCTTAGATTCCTATCGTGGACAGGGCCAGGCTAAAACTAATCCTAACGACGAAAATTAGATCAAAGGAAAGCAAAGGAAAAAAAATCTTTTACCTAGTTAACTCCGCATGAATATAGCAAGGGTTCTATTCCTAGAGCTTCCGGCTCAGGGGTCGGGTTAAGAGACCACCAAAATTGGATTTCCATCTAGGCCCTCATCGAAAATTAATTTGGGTGATTGACTTTGCCCTCTGGCTGATGAATCCTCTCAAGGGTTCTCCGCACCCACAATAATGAATTTCTCCGATCATTGATGATCACTCACATGGCCAAGAAAGAACGGGCGCCGGCCCGCAATCAAATTAAACACATTGACACCTCTCGATCTTTTTTTAGTTGACGCCCGGGGGAAGAGCTCGTTCATTGTGATTCCACAAAAGAGGTCTGAAATCACGAAATATTCCTTCACTGGAGCCAACAAACCTGAACGAAATACGATCGAATGAGCTTTGATGTTTTTTTCCTTCCTGCTTGTAAAATTTTCACGGATCGTCAGCCGTCGGCAGCCTCCGGTTTCGATTTTCGACACTATCGCCTAAGTTATCTGCTGTGCGACGTCGCCTTGCAGATAGTCGAAGCGGAATTCCAGTGAACAGAACGGGCAAGATCAACCCCTTAAGGGGACACAGGAACGATATTATGTTATCGATATGTGTAAGCCAGGACATATCGTATCCTGAATCTCACTCAACTGCCCGGTACGGACGTGTTTGCACATAGACGGCTTGGGTCCGGCGTTTGAAATCTAGCAGGGCCAGGCATGAGTTAGCGTTCCACAGCATGCCCACGGTATCTTCTCGAAGATATCCACGGTCAATTGATCAACCAACCTAGCTAGCTAGTTTAAATTGTATAGAAAGGGGGTATGCGTGTGCCGAGACGATCACGATCACGATCACAATGGGTGAAGTTCTTCGGCATACGACCTCGGGTTCCAAGATGTCTCTGCATCAGGGCTGAAGTCTTTAGTGACATAATGGACATACATACTGCATAAGGCACGGCAAGTGGAAATTGTCTATGTTTTCCCGATATTGCATTTGCAATTTTGCACGGACTCTCAAATTTCTAGGATTTTCCCCCTCGATCGTGACTTCCCTGAGCATGAACATTGATCCCCCTTTGGCTTCTAGACCCGATCGTTCGGCCGGCCTAAAGGGCCCTTTCCCCTTCCAGGCGGCCAGCACAGACTCCGATGTTGCATCTTGCGTGTCGAGCTCCTTTCTCATCGCAAATTAATTTCACGACTTTGGTTCCAGCCTAGTTGTTTTTTTGAGATATAACACAATATTAAAATAAACGTCTCCACTCAAACTCGATAAGTGATGAGGAATACAATCTCTTCTACAAGGCACCCAAAGAGAAGAATTCCTCGGTGCAAACGAGATCACCAGGGGTTCAGAACGATAGATGAACCATGTTTCTTCGCTTCAAATGCCCAGCTTTCGGCTCGGATTATCAGGAACGAGGTCTAGAAACCTGTCCGGACATGTGTGTTGTCTCAGCCCGCATGAAAAAATGACACGCGCCACACACACGAACACGTTAAACGTTAGAGCGTAGCACAGCCACCTCGCGTCTTTTTTTTTTTTTTTTTTTTTTTTTTTTTTCCCTCCTTTAAACGAAAATTTTCTCACTTCGGCTTCTTCCCTCTTCTTCTCTTCTTCTTCTCTCTTCAGAAAACGTATTATTACAAACCCTCTCTATTCACTCTGGCTTTTCTGATATCAATGGAATAACCTTGGAGGGGAAATGAGAGGGGAGAGAAAGATGGGTTCACGGCGATTTAACCATAAGGTTGTCGCTGTGGATTTGGCCTCCGTTCCTTTATGTCCAGAAATTTAAGATGCTCAACGATTTTGAAGGACAACATGTCGGTAGGAACATTCCTAAGCTACTAGAAACCTCTATAAGATATAGTTAGTAGTTACACATGTACATGCAACATGTACCTCGTAGAATCAGATATAGTCTCGTGAGGATACCCCGCGCTGCACATCGCCATGACATCACATACGTCGTAGATCTATGTATTGGTAACATCGTGTGCGGTAGCCGGTGGGGATTTATGTCAATCCCTATGCAGATGACACAAGACTAGTACTAGCATGATATGGATATTTAGATCGATCGATTCTAGATTCTAGCGTTGAAGTATGCACTATACCATGTGCATCGATGTCAATGTGAGATCATCAAACTTAATGACACTCGTTTCCATTATTTGTATAGTATATCGGACGCCATATCCGCTGCTAACGCGGGCGACTGCAGCCGTGGCTATACGGTGGAATTGACATATGAGATCCACGTGCATCCTCGATATATGCTCCGAATGAATGAGGATGCTAATCTATAGCATTAGCAGTTATCTTGTGATCTGAATGCTACTCTGAGGATTTGTAAGAAGCTTAAGATGTTTATCAAATCTCAAACCCTTAATCGTCAAAATATGTTGCTCATTGTGGCGATATATTAGGTAGTAGGTTCGTTAATTCCGGTCGTACATAAGTACTTAGCTACTTAATTATGTTAGGTAACTATATGTAATTGTAACACTACGTAGCTACGCTTAGTTGTCTAGATGTATCTACGTGCACATGTACCAATGGTTATCCCTACCGGTACATACATAAGTATGTTGAGGTTGAACATTGTCAGGCCCGAAACTAGAATAGTAGAATCTTCTACCCTTCCTACAATCCCATCGACATCTACACCGAAGTTCCAAGTTTGTGTAAATATGTGGATAATTCCCGAAGCTTGCACTTCAGAACATTCGTATATTGGTCTAAATCTATATTCTCATCAGAAGGAGAAAAGAAGAAAGGTATATCCTCATTAGAATCGCTAAAGCCACAGCACCTCCTATCATCACAAAAAGAGAGAAAAAGACAAATAACCACAGTTATATCTGCAATATATCAATCATTTCATCTTCTTCCCGCTAGCTTTAGCCTTAATATCAGCCTGTCTCTTCTTCTCCTCTAGTTCCGCCGCCCTCTGCTTCGCCTTCTCCTCTCTTTCCTTCCTGATCAAAGCCAGTCTAGCCAAATCGCTCTTCGCCTCTTCGGTCTTTCCAGCTTCATGTAGCTTCCTATACCTCTCCTTCGCAGCAGCAGCTTCAGCAGCCTCACGTTCTCTCCTGGACATCGTTGGCTCTGCATTCCCCTCATTGGGGTTTCCAGGAGGTGCGCCTCGAGGCGTCTTTTGTGGTTGTGGTTGTGGTTGTGGAGCTTCTTCTTCCTCTTCGTCCTCGTCGTCTGATAGCGACATACCTGCGACACCCTTCGCTAGTTGTGCACGTTTTGCCTCTTTGAGGGCCTTCTGAGCTGCTCGACGTTCATCACGGGTCATTTCGCCAGTGGCGACTGGGGCTTTCGGCTTCGATGACGATCCAGCGGCGCCGGCGGTAGTACCATCGTCGGATTCTTCTTCGGATTCTTCTTCGGATTCTTCTTCGTCGGATTCTTCTTCCTTCTCACGTGGACCCTGTTTTGTTGGAGAAGCGGGGTTAGTGGCGGGTGGTGATGATAGAGGGGATGATGATAAGGGCGGGGGAAGGTGGAACCACTCACATCATCCCACATTCCAGGTGCATCTTCGGCTGGTCGGACATCTCTGGAGAACTTCTTGCCGCCTGTAAGTGAGCACCATGGTAGTTATAGTTAGTAAGTTTAAGCTTTGGTATAGCTATAGATGTAGCGGGGAGGGGTCTCGTCTCTGTATGGTTCTTCTTCTTACCTCCACGAATCGGTTTGGAGAATTTACCCCTCGGCATTGTTGTCGTCTGAACTTAAGATAAGATAAACTGCGAAAAGCTGAGCGAATAAGAGTACGCCTATGTCGGTCGCAGTCTGTAATGAAGCTTGAAGCCGTAAGCCAAGGTATATCTTGCGATCAAGAGGGGCGGTGAGGTATCTTTGGTGTAGTGGAAACGAGGGGACAAAGACTGGACGAAGAAGGGGAGATGTAGGGGAAATCTACGGGCGGGTTTGATTCTGGAAGGAGTCCAAAAAAAATAGTTTGTGGTGAGTCGATCTTCACGAGGAATTTGTTTGGTAACGTTGGCAGCCTTTTTGCTGCACCACACACACACCAACAAAAACGGCGACCAATCAGAACGGCCCGCTTTCGAAGCGTCGACAGAGCCGCATTTCACGGAATTCACTATTTAGCTTAGCGAGGTTTATATATATTTAGGTATCATGCAGAGCAGATGATGTTAATGTGTGGGTAAGGAATCAATCATCGAATCCCGTTTTGTTTTCCATTCTCAAAGCTGGTAGCAGAGTGTGAAGGGGAAGATTATTCTAAATACATCTTTCTAAAGAGATTTTTTGTGAAGAATATGCACTGATAGATGTCCTTTTCCTCCTGGAAGTTATAGTAATATTGTATATCGATATCCCAATATACAATGCAATGTTGATATATCCGAAGAAGAATGATAATAATAAGAAACTCCATAAAATATCCGCTAAATTCAAACCACCATCCCATCCAAAAGAAGTATCCAATAGTTGAAGACTCTAGTCGAGTAAATTGCAATTGAATACCGGAATATTCAATCAATGTCGGATCAAGAAAAGAATTGATTGACTATTGCCTAGAGGTCATTGGGGCTTAGGCGTCGAATGGGACGATAGTTCCGTCTGGCAATGTCTTGACAGCATCTTCAACGTCGGTCTGAGGAGCTGCGATCGGTACAGGGGCAGCGATGACGGAAGAGAAGGAGGCGACGAGGAGGAGAGCGATAGCGAAGAACTTCTGCATCTTGACTGATTTATTTGGGTCGGTTGATAATAAATTATACGATGTTATCGGAATGGAATATCGGCTTCCTGAAGAAGATAGATGAGATATATCTATATATGAATGCGAATATATATGATTTATTCTTCGAGCGGGTGGTGATATTGATTGGGGTTTATTCGTGATCGGTCTGGTTTTCAAACTTCGAGAGGAATAGAATGTCGACCGGCGACTAAGAAGAAATAGAATAATCTTCTAATGAATGGAAATTGTAACGGTAGACTGGATGATTGGACGACTGGCGTGAGGAGAGAAGGGAAAGAAAAAGAGACGGCAAGAATTGGAGATTCCGGTCTCTTTATACTATCGATATACGGGGGCGAAAACTTATAACGTTACGAATTTCCAGTCACTTTCAATTCCCTTGACACTTTTGACATCAGAGACGTTTCTACTTGACAGGGTCTCTCTCAGTGTAAGTGGTGAAGCCATGGGTACGGCCGTACCGTGAATGTTTCAACGCTGCTAAACGAGCCCAGTTGTGCCTGGCCAAGAAATCTCAGCGTGCGCTTAACTCCTAAGGGCTACCAAGGAGTACTCTTACAAAGTAAACATCTTTTCCCATTTTGAGAATTATTTTAATTAATCTGGGGGAGAAATATTTCTCGTTCTTGGAATCTGGGCTATTATCTTGTCTCGTGATATGACAATTGGTGTCTGGGGCTTGGTGTGGTGAACTTGTTTCGTGAAACAGCAGCGTTTCGACATAGTTTGAAGGAGAAAACCACCACAACCGGATCCCACCGCAATCCGTTTTCACCGTAATTCGGGTGCTATCGATGTCCAGAAACAAGTACTCAGTAGCATTGATATTATTTTGTTTGCGGTTCCGAGCCCGATATCTAGACTGATGCAAGTTGACGTAGAAGTCTCAGTCAAAATCTGCATATCCATGAATTGAATATGGACTCCGAGTCGCAAATGGGACTCCAGCCAAATGTAAATCATGTATTGTATTTTTGTTCTTACAAACAATTTCGAATACGAACACGAAGCATGCATGATGCTAAATGTTACTTCATCTGGCCTTCACGGAATCCCAATAGATCTATCGCTAGGTTATACAGAGCAGTGCCATATACAAGTACGTCACGTTCAAGGACAAATCTTTCCTTGCGCTCCACCTTTGACCTGCGAATTTATTATGCATATAAATCACGCCTATGGAAGTCGGAAATGGGAAACGGAGAAATGAAATAAGTTCCATTGAATTTTTTATGAGCCAGACAGTATCGAAAGGGGTTTAAAAATGCAGTAGGATATGTCAGTACTTAGTCTAGAAAGTTATGTCTCTCCGGACACGCCACATAGCATAAGTACTTAGGTAGAAAGATGATCTGGGATCGATGGAATCTAGAGCTCTCATGTCCCAAAACGATCAAAGAACGGCCAATTATTCTTCCTCTTCACGATTTGATTATCAGTATTGGAAGCTTCTGTTTGACCTGGATCCTGTATGGCCGTTCGAAATAAACCGACTAACTCTTCCATCTGTTTCCTGTCGAGAGATGTCTTCCGCCTGATCGGTGGAGGTGGAGGCTGGTTTAGTTTTTGTTCAATACGTTTATCGAATTGACTGATGGCTCGCTCATTTAATCTTCTGTGTCTCTCCCAATATGCTTCCACAACATTCGAAGCGTTGAATTCGAGAATCGTGAATCCATTTCCGATTTCGGTCATCACCAGTCGGTGATTCCCTTCGCTATCCACGTGAGGTGAAAGTGAAAACTGGTTTCGAGTGTGACTCAGGACCTTTCCGAGCCCAAATTCAAGGTCACACCCTGGCCCTTTGGTTTTCACAACATGGTCGTATCGAGTGATACAGACACCGCGGGGGTCTTCCATCCCAGCATGGCTGGTAACCATGATTGACGCACTGTGATCGGTATAGGCCCTCTCCATAGGTTTTGTTCCGAGCCTTTCGGGCTTCGAGCACTCACCATAGACTTGAAATGTCGGATGAGTTTCTTTCAAATTCCAATAACCGTACACGCCACCCTCTAGAACTGTCCAGAGTCGAGGATAGACTAACTCTACAGCTAAAATATTCTCCCTAGCCGCCATGTTAAGTGGCAGCACTTCGTCGGCGCCGACCGTCGGAGTCCACAGGGGTGGTTTCTCTTTAAATGTCCCCTTAAAAGGGTTCACACGGAAGGGCCTTATGATGCCGTGCCGTTTGAGAGTAGCATGCACGGTTATTGTATTGAGAGTATCCTCTTTTGACGTTAAGTCCTCGAAGAACCTCATAGTTAAGTAGACGTCGGTGGAGTGGAAATGAGTGACATTAGCGACGGTTTTAGATGGGACGCCAGCATTACCTTCTCCCCAAACCTCAGCACTCCAGATGCAAATTTGTCCAGGAGCCTGCATTGCTGCAACGATAATATACCACCCACTCCCCCGTACCTCGCCCTCCTAAGGCGAATTCGGGGTTTGTAGTCGGCGCATAAAATCGACGCATATTCCTTTTGGTCGGATTTGTCCTGGTTTTCGAGGGCTCAAAAGCATGGTATGGACTGGAAAGTCATTCGAACCAAGCTGATTTGAGGATACACCTGGGGGCGGAAGTCGCAATGGGAGAATGATGAGGTGAGCTTTCCCATCAGCGGTGATAGCTGTAAGGTACATCTTCTCCAGCCACGGGAGGAATTCCAGGTAGTTGTACTCTGGAGCAGAGTGAGAGGGCCCAGGAACCGCAAACTCGATGACTGGGCTACCAAGTTCAACTAAAAACTTCCATGGGAAGCGTGCATTCTTTTGGATGCTATAATCCTCAGGCTCGCTGTCCGATTCGTACTTTGGAGCATTGGTGTACGTCTTTTTGCGAGGGAGTTCTTCGGGAAGTTTGCCTTCAGAGTTACTGGGGATGACCGAACCACCCTCATCGACGTCCATGTCTATGTCGCCATCCGTTCCAAAGGATTCTTCGTTAATAGATCGTGGAGAACACGCTCCTTCACTCAACCGGCAGCGTCGAGGGTAAAGGATTGTGAGTCCTTTTTTGGTACCGTATATGATGATACTTCGGTCGTTTTCTTCAACATGGGACGTAGCTGTATCATTTAAGTTAGTAGCATTATTAGTCGATTCCGATTCGGGTTTCTTGCTTCGAGGGATGGAGTACGGGTAGTATTGGGCTGGGGCCGTGATGTCCTCTTTGACGGTATAGCTGTTTCTATTAGCATTTGACGCGTCTGAACTAGATGAAGAGAAGTTGGTTACCTGAGCAAGCGTGCCCTCGAGTTCAGCCTTACCAGAATTGGCACCTTTGTATCTGGAGCGTCGGCCATGATGAGAGTTGGTTTATTAATATCGTCGATAGGATTGGGTCGGAGAGCTGTGAGGTTGAGAAGTGAATTGTCTTCAGGTAGTAGCCTGTTACAGGTACAACAAGACTGGAGTCGATGCGAAATCTCGAGAACTCAAACAAATGCCACAACACAAGAATGAGAGATATGATCATATTGAACGAGTCAAAATGAGAGAGGTCGGAATATACTATTCCCGGTCAAATACTTAAGTAGGTATATGATGGTGTTATATTTCGACATATGCGTACATGTAAATACCTATCTTCTCTAATCTGTCTAAAAGTTATTCATAGCCTGGGGCTAATTAGACCCTCCACCAGAAACCCGGGTTTTACTAGTGCCCCCAAACACTGGGTCCATATTTACAGTTCCAAATCCACAGCCAAAAGTCCATTCATCAGGACATGTGGTAAGCTCCTCTTCTGTGTAGGGATCCATCTTAGACTTGCATGTATCCTTAGGTTGATATGCTGCGAGGATGGACCAGTTCGGCAAACCAAAGTCATCGTCCCCTCTTCTCTTCGCGACACCCAGAGCCTTCGCGTAGGTACCGTATTGACCGCAGATATCATTTATATTCATGGTGACAAGGTCTGTATTTTCTCCCATTCGTACTGTAGGTTGTCTTCCTTTGGGAAAGATTCTACAGGGCCAGTATTCTACTTAGCATGGGTTCTTGCGAATTGTCTGATCATGATATAGCAGGTATGCATATGCATATATGTCTGGGTCAAACACTTACCTGCGGGCCAACCGTGAATCATCCGGATCACCTTCTCTCATACTTCTACCTTGATACTCGTAGATGTGGCTTAACCTGATAACATTCATAAACTCGTCATACTCTTCGTCTTGCATGGCATCCATAGTATCCACATCAAGATCCTTCGTAAGGTCCTTCAGGTCGTCACAATTCTTGAGCATCAACCACCCCCGACGGCTTTGGTCCATATCCCAGATATTGTATAAGTTATAAGTAATACAGTATCCGAGAGAAACGTGCTCGATATACCCTTTGAACGTTTTACTAGACCCCTTCGCGTTTTCTGTCAAGAGGCCGGTGACGCGCCAGGTGGTCCACTTCGGACCGACATTGTTGCAGATACGAGGAACGAGCCTTTTATCCCGTAAGGTTACTTTTGTTAGGGATGGATCCATGGAGAGACATATATCTTCTTCAGGGGACCCGGGGCGCCTAGGTGCTTCTTTGAGGCAACCGTTAGTTTGGTCTATATGGTGACGATATGTATCTGGGTATGTAGTATTTATAATCTTAATAGTACACAACTATTTAGTGAGTTTTATCTTACTTATTTCTCCTATCCATGTGTAGGCTGATACTTTGGGCGCGCTTGATTCCTCGTCATTCTGTTGGGAAGATAGTCTTCCGAAGGATATGATCAAGTAAGTCTGGAGCAGCAGGACGATTGGAATTTGCATTCTGAGATAAGATCTATACAGGTGAAGTCGACGTGATCGATGTGCTACATACGCTGTATCTGTAATATGAAACTATCCCGTTTATGACAGTGATTTTTGAAATATTCACCCAGTTGAAATGAGATCAAGATAGTGGACACTGTCCGGTGGGAAATCTAGGAAGTATCAGAAAATATAGAGTCTCCTTCGCAATAACATGTCAATGCTGTGCCCGTTGGGGCTATGCATGAGAAAGAGAGATAATTCGCAGTTAGTTTGATAGAAGCTGTTATAAAGTTGGTAAATTGTTAGGCTGCACTTCACAAAATAAACTATGCCGCACGGAATCACAGCTGCAACCGCCTCTCTCCCCTTCGCGGTAACCTGCAAATTAGTAGTGGGTGGTCTTTTGAAACTCATTCAACATAAATGCACTAAAATAATACTGTCCTTTCCTGACCCTTTATTAGTGGGGTTGACGGTCCCATGGCCATCATCACTGAGTATAGTGTTGAGTCTGTGGTAAATTTTGTGTGCGTTGGGAGGCTGAGGAACCTTGAGGCTAATGGCCCAGCCTGTGGCCAGCTGTGTCTCTTCAACCTCCAACGGTTGTGGCTCGTGCGCGGTCCAGCCAGCTGAGCTCGACAGCTTTTTTTTTTTTTTTGACGGAAGTACCCTGGACACCTGGTAAGTATTGACATGTGCAAGTACGGTGCTGGTGGGGTCATGTCGGGTGGTCTAGAAGGGGCATGGCATGGCATGGCATATTAATATTGCATACATCCGTGGGAACACAGCATTGCCGGGGTACACATCGATTAGATTCGATGTTGATGATGACATAGTCACAGGCCGGGTCTCATATGCAAGGCATCCCCGGGTGATGTTCGATGTATTCAATATCAAACGGGACTTTCCTTTGAAGCCTTCCTCAACGTCGTCGACATCGATGTTAGCATTGACATTGACTGTCGTGTGCCATCAGATCTTGCCTGCCTCCCTCCCTTCCATATATCCCTTCCCCCGGTCCGTACGTATCTTAATCTTATACAGTCAAAATCGAGAACACCGAGCTTTGATATCTCGTAATAGCTTCTCGTATCGTATTCTTGAAAATTTGATTAAACCAAGATTTTTTCTTTCTTGTTGGGTCCCAAAGCAGGCCACTTTTGTTTCTCCAAGTGTTCCCCGCCTTCCCTTCTGAGATCGCAGAAGTCCGAAAGTCGAAAGTGAAAAGAACCTCCCAACGGATCCCTCGGTGCTTTTGATCAAGTTGGATCAAGAATAGAACCATCCTTGTATGCCATAGTAGTCGAAGGCGAAACTTGATCCCTCCCTTGTCTTGGATAACTCGGTCGGATTTCGATATCCGGGAGCTAAGGAGGGAACAGTCCATTTTCACGTTCTTGTTCTCGTTCCTAGTTATCAGAGCAAACGTCTGCTTTCGAACCAGAAGAGCCTCGGAGATTAATATCAACGGTCGGTTTCGGTCTTTTGCTTTGCTTTAAATTACTCGGGTCGCCGCTTGGAATGTCGTTTTCCTGCTGCTATATTCTATTATATTCTGATTAGAAAGAATTCAATGCTGCATCGTGGTCTTGGTGGTTGATTGATTGTGGTTGTGTGTTATATGAAGAAAGCAACTCGCCTGTTCTGTCCTGTTCCATTATATCATATCACATCACTCGCCTTCATCGATTAAATCACCCTCAACCTTAACTAACTTGAACCTTCGGATCACTTAACTTTAACCCCGCACAACCACCCCCCACATCTACACTCCGATCGATAGAATCAAATATCCACCGCCCACGGAGGCTCTAGAGCCTACCTTATACCACTTACCGATACTGAATCGAGACCGGGACGTTGGCAAAATATCACATACACTCGTCCAAAATGGCGGCCCCACCAGAGAAGCCGAAGACAAAGTTCCCGAAACTCAATCCTTGGAGCTATGACATCTTGATCTGGTTCTTCACCGGTGAGACAACCCTTTGCCGGACCTGAAATTTGATTCCGGAGATATACTGACGTCAAGGAACGAATAGTTCTGGTGGACCTCTTCTTCAGAGAAGTCCATCCTCGTGGTGCCTATCGTATACCGAAACGAGGTCCTATTATCTTCGTCGCTGCCCCCCATGCTAACCAGGTCCGTTAAATATCCTCAAAGCAAACAGATTCCTGATAGACTAACATGACAGCCACGTAGTTCGTTGATCCACTCCTTCTCATGCGTTCTGTTAAGCTCGAGGCTGGCCGTCGAATCGCCTTCCTTGTCGCTGAGAAGTCCATGCGCCGTAAGTTTGTCGGATTCTTCGCTGGATCCGCTGGCGCTGTTCCAGTTTCACGTGCTTTGGATATGACGAAACCAGCATCTGGCAGAATCTACCTCCCAGATCCAGAAAATCCGACTCTTATCCGAGGTGAGGGAACGAAGTTTACTTCTCAAGCATCTCTTGGAGGCTTGCTTGTTCTACCTACGCCACCGAGTGGAGGAAGTGCTGCTAGTGCGGAAATTGTCGAAATTATCAGCGACGAGGAAATTAGACTCAAGAAAGGATTCCCGGGCGAAGAAGCAAAAGAACAAATCACAAGCAAATCTGAAGCTGGAATGGGAACAAAGTACAAGGTTGCTCCTAAGGTCGATCAGAGTGAGGTTTACGATGCAGTGTTCCAGAGACTCAATGAGGGTGAATGTGTCGGTATATTCCCTGAAGGTGGATCCCACGACCGAACCGAATTACTGCCGCTCAAAGGTATGGTTTATAATATTACTCCTCAACCTTACCGAAACGTTGCTGATAGCATGTGAAAACTAGCTGGTGTTGCTATTATGGCGCTTGGGGCCCTGGCCGCCAATCCAGACTGTGACCTCAAGATCATCCCCTGTGGCATGAACTATTTCCACCCGAACAAGTTTAGATCTCGTGCAGTCATTGAATTCGGCAGCCCTATTGAGGTCCCCCCAGAACTTGTCAGACAGTACCGAAACGGTGAGAGACGCGAAGCGGTTAGGGTCCTCTTGGAAGTCATCTACAACGCTTTGGTTGCTGTAACTGTTACAAGCCCTGATTATGAGACTCTCATGGTGATTCAAGCTGCTCGCCGTCTATACAGGCCGACAAACAAGAAACTCCCACTGCCATACGTCGTCGAGCTTAACCGTAGACTCGTCACAGGATACACACACTACAAGGACGACCCGAGAATTGTGAAGCTCAAAGATCTCGTGCTGAGTTACAATAAGGATCTCCGCATCTTGGGTCTTCGAGATCACCAGGTTGAATACGCCAAGTTCTCAATTCCACAAGTCATTGGTACTTTACTCTACCGTATTGCGAAAATTTCAATCTTGGCTTTGGCTGCTCTCCCCGGCACAATTCTGTTCGCTCCGGTATTCGTTACAACTCGCTACATCTCGCATAAGCGGGCAAAGGAGGCTCTAGAGGCATCGACTGTGAAAGTCAGAGCTAAGGACGTCATCGCTTCCTGGAAACTCCTCGTAGCTCTTGCTTTGGCGCCCTCTCTATACTCCTTCTACACCTTCCTCCTCACATACTGGGCCTATAGGCACCATATCTGGGGTATTCTCCCCAACTGGGTTCCTCTATGGCTTGTTGTCGTTTTTGGATACTGTTTCTTCCCTGCCATCACATTCGCTGCTCTCCGAATAGGTGAAATCGGAATGGATATCTTTAAGTCGCTTCGTCCACTATTTCTTTCCCTCAACCCAGGCACTGCAAACACTATCGTTAAACTCCGCCAGCGAAGAGAAGAGCTAGCTATCGAAGTTGCGAACACGATCAATATTCTTGGCCCTGAATTATTCCCCGATTTCGATAATAAACGTATTATCGCCGACCCGTTTCTTCGAAATGCAGAGAACGAGGCGGCGGCTGCTGCTGCTGCTGCCAGCGACCCGCATACCCCTGTGTTATCTCGACGTGGAAGCCAGATCTCGGACAATTATGGCAGCAATATTATTCCTGACTTGAAGGCTCCTTCGCCAACGGTTGCTGTGGCTAGCGGTCTGCCCAGAAACGAGAGTTTCGGAAACCTGGGAAGTATCGGGCTGTTTGCATCGAGGCCGGTGAGCAGAGCAAGAAGTAGGAGTAATAGTTCTGGAGGATTTCAGTAAGTTTCAACTTTATATACCATTCATGGACTCTGTTGTAATTTCTTTGACCACTAACACACGATTTTTCCGAACCTATAGTGTTAAAGCCTTTAGTACCATGGACTCCAAATCCAGCTTCGAGGAAGTTAACCGAAGACTCGTCGAACGTCGTAAGGAGCGAACCAGACGTCAATCTGAAAGCGAAGAACTGGACGAGGAAAGCGACGACTCAACCGTCCACCTCAACATTCGCCGTAAGAAGACAGTTTAGGAAATGCTTCGGGATTTGGTGAATGAGCGGGATGTGACGTTTTAATGGGCAGGCCTTCCTTCTTTTTTTTAGTTTCTCTGCTTTCTTGAATAATATTTCTTCTTGAATCGGATTCTTTTTGTGAAGGGTAGAGTGGAGATTTCCACCCTCTCGTTCGCTTTCAAACTCTGATTAATTCTCAAGTCTTTATAATATTCCTTTCGTTGTTTATATTGTGCTGCTTTTGTGGGGATTCTCTTTTTTTTTCTTTTGGCCTTGTTTTCCTTCCCTCCCTCTTAATCCCTGCTCGTTCATTATTATGTTATTTCCTCTGAATGGCTGTATCGTCCTTTTTATAGGTAATTCGCGGGTATGTCGGGTTCGGGTTTTCTATTTTTCTATTTTTTTTTTTTAAAGGGCGGAAGACAAAAAAAAGGTGAGGCGTTAAAGCTGTTTTCGTCAGAATGCCTCTTTTTCCGACTTGGAAAACACTTATATATATTTCTTCTCTATGTGATCAAAGCTCGGTGGTCCCAACCGTTTTAGATATCTGTGACTTTAACCTCGGCCCTTTGGATCGAAGTAACAGGCTCAAGTGGTACGAGCTCGAGCCCCCCCAACTTAGCTAGAAAATCACTAAATATATATCTATGATGCAGAACAAGGGACTTTAAATTCAGCCTCCATTACCATTACCAGGATCTACTAATATACATGAAAGGGTGTACGTGTGTGTGTGTGTAAGACAATTCATGCCGTCAACATTATCAACGGCTCAAACAACAAAACAGATATGACGTGTGCGAATAGAACGAACATAAAGAGCAAATGGTTTTTTTTTTTTCAAACAAAAGCAGTGGCCATAACATAAAAGGACTTCAAGTTCCCTCGGAGGAGGTTTTTTATAAAAAAAGCATGTGAATTCTATATCAGTCGTCCTCAAAACCCCCCCAACAATTTTTAAGAGAGGATTGGCCTAGGTATCACTCCGACCCACTCCGAAGAAAAACCCACATTCCCACCGCCTGACCACCCCCACGCCTTAAACCTAATACCATTCCAATCTTTTTTTTTATCCCATAACCATCCCTTCCCTCGCCTTAATCGTCAATTCCTTATACAGCACCTGGTCCTCCGTCAACGGTAAGCTCAACACTCTACCACCCTCGATCCCCAAATCGTGGCTTTTGAGCACATAATCCGCAAGCATACGACTCATCTCCCTAACCGCTACACCCGGTAAGAATTCTCTGATATCCACCCTTGGCAAGCCCTCCATCAGTCGCTTGGCCACATCTCTCTTAGAGTTGTGCTTAGGGATCCCTCTAACCTTTGGAATGGCTGGAGAGAATCCCTTATGGTGGTGCGTGATGCTTGAGAGGAAGATGAAATCGAGATACACCTGTGCACCTGTAGACCAGTTTTCGACGAGGCTGGAGTCGGTGAATTTGGAGATCACATTGTAGAGTTTTTCGAGATCTTCATTGACGATGCAAAGTGGTGCGGCGTGGTTGAGGAGTGTCTTGTGAGCTTCGGTCCATGCGGAGGCGCTGAGGAGGCATTCGACTTCTTCGAAATGGTCTTGCTGGAACCGTGCTTGTAAGGCTTTGGCTTCGTAAACCCAGGCCGAGGGGATTAGTAGTTTGTGGAGAATAAAATCTTGCTTCTCGCTGTTAGATGTGAGGTCGCCAACGTGTTTAGCGAGCATTTCCTTGATTGTAAATGCACGGCTGGGATAAAGAAAATATATGTTAGCATGCCGTGTCATTAAAATCAACAACGAAATGGTCTCAATGGGTATTTTTGGCATACCTTTCAGGAGTGGAGAGATGCATTAGCACAAAAACTGCCCAATGCCACTGCCCTTCGGACTCTAGTTGGCTCGCGAAGTCTAATGTCAGTTTCTCTGCGGCCACAGAGCTCGTCCTTGTCTCTTCATCATCAACAAGCATCATGGTGTCTTCTGTAAAATCCCTAACCTGCTTCTCAGCAAGCATCATCCTTAATTGCCAGGCGAGTCTGAAGTCGCATGGATTTGGACTGTAGCTACGTGGAGAAAGAACCCTTTCCAGCGGATAATTCTCGTCGGCGTACATGCTGAGGAGTCCCCAAAGTGTATCATAAATTGGTTCCTCCTCTTCATCCTCTACTACGTATGTATCCTTATTATCAGGGTAATACCACGGTTTAGGGTGTCGAACGTGCTGTGTATCGGTAGCCTTGAATGCCTTGTGGTACCCGGAAACGGCATGCTCTAGCGCCTGATCCTCAAATATTTCGTACCACAGTCTCATAGCAAAAGTGCGTCTCCAATCAAGGCCGAACATTTCTCCGATCCAGAATGATGGAGTAGCGTCTTCCATGGAGGAATTAACACCCTCGGAAAACCCTACGTTTCCAGCAACAAGTTCGTAAAGTGCGCGGATGGCAACTGGAATTTCCGCGAGAACACCAGATCCTCGCCAGGATTCAAGTTGCTTCTTCACATCATCCCTTGCTTGCCTATCGCCACCAATAAGTGGCAACAAAGTCGCTAGACGGAAGTCATTCCCAAGAATGAGGTGATCCACAGCTTCGTCAACTTTATGTCCACTCAAGAGAGCGAAAGCACTAGATTCAGGACTTGAAGCAGCCTTTTCGTCATTTGCAACATCTCTAGCAACAAGTTCCTCGAAGAAACGTGACAACATGAGTTTTCTCTTCTTCGTTCGAAGGTGGATCCGGACATGGAACTCTGCTGCTTCTGGGGGATATCCATCTTCGAGGGCATCGAAAAGAATGGATGCAAGTTGCCAAACAGCCTTTTCGTGTTGTTGCTGTGGCGAGGCCCCAAATTTGGCCTTTGTGAATTGGTTGAACCCCGTAGTTACATCGAGTTTGGCGAAAGGAATGTTCGAGCGATCTTGGAGAATCTCGGAGGCTGCGAGTTGGAATTCAAGCAAGTCGATAGCTGCAGTCTATAGTCTGATATTAGGTTTGAAACACAAAGTTGGGGTTTGGAACAAGCGGTGGGCTACTCACAGAGGCTCCCGCGGAGTACTGTAATTTGACTTTGTGAGTCTTTGAAGATTTGATTTCGCCGAAGGCTTTAGAGTGGCCACCTTCTATAGAGCCAGCATAGATAAGCTCACTAGTTGGTCCCCAAGACGGGCGGATACATTGTCGCCATTCACGATCATCTGGCTGTTGATTATTTTTGTTAAAAGCCTCAGGGCGTTTGTATTGAGATGTACTGCTGGATTTCTTATTTCTGTTCACAACAGGGGATGAGAATACTCGGACGGACGGACGATACGGTGACTACAAAGGAACCCATGTTTTAGCAAGTTATTCTCCAGCCAGTTTTTCATTTCAGATGGATCTCGTTAGGGTGATATTTATCTAAATACATGAATTGGGCCGCGGTTACAGATATTAAAGACCAAAGCAATCAAGGTTGGACAAGTAGAATGACATCGCCGAGAGCAAGGAAGTAAAAGTGCAGTATGTGAAATTCATGTGGAAAGCGGATGGGGAAGAACAATGGGTGAAAAAAAAAAAGGAAGAAATGAGGGAGGGGAGCGAGGAAGGGGTGAGCTAGGGTATTCACACCTCAAAATCGCGATTCCTGGAAGCAAATAAGCTTTCTGAGAAGTCGACATTGCTAACATCGCCAAATGGGTTTCTTGCCGAGGTGATCGGGCCTCTGAAGCCGAGGGGGGCTCTGGTTTTAACTGGGCTGATAGTTCGACTAAGTTGGTCTGTCCAGTCACGGCCAACACCCAACTTGACTTCTGGGGTAGCTTCACGGTAGTCCTCGGCGACAGGGGCAAGCTGGGTGTCGTCATCTTCATCAACGATAGAGACGTCCTCGTGGGGGAGAATCTGTGTGGTTTCTCCTTCTTCCTCAGAAAGGTCAGAGCCCTCGACAGACTCCCCTGAAGCATCCGCTGGATCCACAATGTCGGAGGTTAGCGTTTCATCAATAAAACGCATAGAAGGTGCTTTCCTGGAGCGTTTGAAGTCGAAAGTATCGTCAGCAATACTATCGTCTTCGAAGGTGATGTCGGATGGAGATGCAAAGCTAGATTCTTCTAGGACACTCGAATCAAAACGTTTAGTAGGGGTAGCGTCGGCATAAACTGATTCACTCATGTATGCATCCGTCTCATCGTCCTCTTCTTGCAGACCGTATGTTGTGAAGTGCTGGACTTTAAAGATCCAGATTCCATCTTGAACAAGATAGTCGACGAACTCAGTATCTCTTATATTCTTGAGTCGGCGAAGATGGAACTGGTAGCGTGGGTGGTCTGGATCTCTGATCGGTTGTTTGTGCTCGCGGTCAGTAGGGAAACATTCTTCTAGTGTGATCGTAGCTGGGACATTCAATCCATTCCCAGGGAGAGGCTTGTCCCAGCCAGGAGGATAGACGGTGCAGACACGGTCTGCAAATGTGATCACTCCGCCAAGAATAGCCTCTAGAGCATCGGCGAATGCAGTAAGGTCGACTGGCTGGTCAAATCTAATTTGGCCAAAGTTGGTTCTTCCGACAAGAAGGTCTGGGACTGCGGACAGTTTTTCTCGGGGCATAGATTTGAGCTTATCAACCGAGGGGATAGACCAATAATCTCCGGTCTTATCGCCACTTGCCCGGACTGCCGAAGGCCCGGCCTCTTGTTCTACCTCTACTTCTGCAGCTTCCACTTCCGGCTCCGGGGACGGCACACGGACTAACGCATTTTCAGGAACAGGGGATGCAACTGGCGCACTAGAGTGTCGAGTAGGCGTCCTCATATAGCCCAAGTCGGCACCGCTAGCCGGGCTCCCAGTTTGGGAGCGAGGGCTAGCATCGAAGCTAACGGTTTTCTTAACGGTATTATCAGGGGTTGCAGTGTTGTCTGGAGTAGCTTTGATAGCCTTCACTTCTCCCTCCTTGATAAACAAATCCGAATCTCTGAGATTTCTATCAATAACAAGTCGCTTGAGACTAGTGGAGCGATTTCCACCAGGCGTAAACGCAGAAGTGTTAAGGATCGAGTCATCACTAGTACCCGCCGAGTCAAAGACAGACCCGCCGAGCCCGATTCTGCTGGAACCACCACTAAAAGTTCTGCCAAGGCTCCCACCTGTCATTGGAGAAGAGGTACCAAGGGATGATCTAGAGAACGGAGACGCGACTCTAGGGGTCAAAGCAGGCTGTCGAGGGGCGATCTTGCTATGAGGAATCATAGCTGCCTTTTTTTTTGCCCCAGAAACAGGTGTTGCGAGGAGACCAGGGGCTGTGCTCGCAGCTAATGAGGCATCGAGTAGAGAAACATTTCCATAGGGCCTTTGGTCCATGATTGAGGCAGTGAGTGTTTGTGGCATTTGTTGCTGCTGCTGCTGTAGTTGTTGGGATTGGAAGAGACTTGCGCCAAATCCTTGTTGGGTAGCTTGGGCAGTGTTACCAAAAAGGCCGCCAGCAGACGACTGACCAAAACCAGCTCCTGCGGTCTGTGCTGGCTGCCCAAAGAGTGAGGAGGCTTGAGGTTGAGTAGCTAACCCAGCAGATCCGAACATCCCACCAGCTGCTGAAGGTTGCTGTTGTTGTCCAAATAAGCCACCGGGTTTCGGCTGGTTTCCAAAGAGGCCACCAGCCTGAGCAGCCTGTTGTGGTTGACCAAATAGACCTCCAGACGCTCCAGTCGCAGCTGGTTGTTGCCCGAATAATCCTCCGGCTTGTGCAGGTTGCTGCTGTTGCTGTTGACCGAAGAGCCCAGCAGCTGCGGGTGTGGCGGTTGCACCAAATGGCTTATTATTGCCAAATAGTCCACCAGCAGCCGCGGGTTGTTGTGTCTGTTGGGCTTGTCCGAATAACCCACCACCAGCAGCTGCTGGCGCAGGTGTCGTTGAGGCGCCACCAAAGCCTCCGAACGCTGGCTTAGCAGGAGTTTGGGCAGCAGCCTGGCCGAAGGCTCCAAACCCAGTAGAAGTAGGTTGCTGCTGCTGCTGCTGCGTACTCTGAGCTCCAAATCCCCCGCTACCAAAGGCTCCCGTAGCTTGTTGTCCGAAGCCACCGGCACTCTGTTGAGTAGTTCCAAATAGACCACCGGTTCCTGTCGCTGTGGATGCAGCTGGCTGTTGTTGCTGTCCAAAAAGAGTATTTCCAGCAGCAGGCTGTCCAAACCCCCCCGCACCTGTTGTACCGAAACCTGTTCCAAAGCCGGTCGGTTTCGGCTGATTTTGGGCACCGAACATCCCAGCTCCTGTACTAGGAGCTGCTTGTCCAAACCCACCCGCAGTACCAGCGTTTCCAAAACCAGTCCCCGTAGTGTTATTTTGCGCGCCAAACAATCCACCAGCTGTAGCACCCGTAGCAGTGTTAGCAGTGCTGCCTCCAAAAATACCAGCGCCTGCAGGTTTGGGTTGTCCGAAGAGGCCGCCCGCGGCAGCACCAGAGGAGCCGAAACCGCCTGCCGCCCCTGCACCGAATCCCGTATTGGTAGCGTTCGGAGCAGTTCCGAAAAGTCCACCACCAGTTGCGGTTGTCGTTTGAGGTTGCCCGAATCCTCCAGCAGCCGGTTGCTGCTGCTGCTGCTGCCCAAAAGCTCCGAAACCGGTTCCCCCAGACCCGAATCCAGATGGTCCAGCTGCCTTTGTTCGGTTCTGCATGTAATCTTGGAGTCGAAGTTCCTATGGAAACCATATGTTAGAATATTTTGAAGTTGGGGGGGTGTACTGGAACAAAAAAACTTACTTCTAAACTCCAATTTTTGTACGGATCTATGAAGGAAATCGTCTGAAAATGATTGGTCATGCTACTAGCAGCATCTTTTTCAGTAAACGGAGAGAAGGGCGTGGTCGCGGTACCCTGGGCCGGTGGTTGGAGATTGCTGCTTCCAGCTGCTGCTCCACCAAATCCGCCGCTCGTAGTTTGGGTGGCTCCGAATCCACCGCCAGTATTCCCAGTGGTGCTGCCACCGAACATGCCTCCACCAGCAGTATTCCCGCCAAAACCTGTGGTTGCGGGTTTAGAGCCAAACAATCCAGTAGCAGTGCTTGACGAACCGAAACCCGTACCTCCTGTAGTTCCTGTACCAAATCCACCTCCACTTCCAGCCCCAGTTCCAAAGCCTGATGTTGCCGTATTTGACCCAAACAAGCCGCCGCCGCCGCCGCCGCCGCCACTAGTTGTCGCAGGTGTTGCTCCAAATCCTTTATTTTGGCCGAAGCCACCCGCCGCGGGGGTTCCAAATCCTGTAGTATTAGAAGAAGAGTTAGATTTTTGTGATGCCCATTTCGATGACTGCAAATTGCCTCGGTTGGAAGAGTTGAGCCCCCCGGTTTTCCCACCACGTCGAGTATTCAGGAATGACGCCATTTTGTCTTTGATGGATTGGTCGTTCAGACTCTCCAAAAGGTTACTTTTCGTCGTTCTTGTTGCTCTCAACCAAGCTTCCTAAACTCGAGAGCTTTGAGAAGAATCGATAGTGACAAAACCGACCAAGAAGCTGACAAGTCGAAATAAAGAATATTCAGAAAGTCTCGTCGCTTCCTGTACGTACCAGTTGAACCGAAACCCGTCGATTGGGTGTTCGCGCCGAAGCCCGTGGAACCGAAACCCGTCGATTGGTTTTGTGTCGTTTGACCGAAGCCTGCAGGATTCCCACAGGGTGTCCGTTAGACACATTCGGAAACGTACTGGGTACCGCCCCATAAAGCATATCTTGTATACAAAGGGGTGGGGTGTGTGTGCTTGTGATCGCAAGGAAGGGGGAAAGGGAATAATCGTACTCACCTCCGAATCCAGTACCGGTAGCATTTGAACCAAATCCACCACCTTGCGGCTGTTGTTGCTGTTGCTGTTGTTGCTGCTGCTGCTGCTGTTGGTTCTGGCCGAAGCCACCACCGAAGCCGCCACCACCAGAGAACATTTTGATAGGCAGTTAATTAATCAATTGACGGAAGATATTGAAATGGAAGACGCGCAAGCCGTACGCTATGGACGTTGAGGTAGACACGCGCTTGAAGAAGACCGTTGCTTGAAGAAGGCTGACAACAGAGACCCTCAAACACCCTTTGAAGCGCGTTTCTTTCAGCGCTAGACCTTTATTGGTATTTAAGAGAATTTATGTTTGTTGTGGTTGTGGCAGGTGAATGTCCGGCGACGTTATATGGGAAAAAAAAATCGCGATCAACTCGACAAATGACCAGAAAGGAGAAAGAGTAAAACAAGATGGTTGAAAAAATGGCGATGCTGAGAAACGAGAAGGAGAAGCAACGGAATTTGGCTTGAAGGGAGCGTATAAGAAAGGTATGAAGACAAGGCGGAGGATGTTATGCCGTCTACTGTGGTGATAATCGCTACCCAGCTGATGAGATGGGAGGATGAGATGTCGTTGAAGCGGAGAGGTTGGAGTGAGGTTGTTTGTGTGCGATGCTACTGCTGGCCACACGCTAAGAAAAACCCGCCAATATAAAGCGTTGCGGTAGGTGTTGATGACTAAGCACACAACACGCCTGGATCCTGACTGTGCCCACCATACAGACACAAGCTTGAGAGCTGGGAGCTAGACTAGCAGGTATTAGAAGCAGAAGTACAAAAGGTGCTTTTGGTTGTCAGGCCACTGCCGTAATGGCCAATGTGATTGCTCGTTTAGAGTGAATATCGCTGAGTCAACTATCATCAACCGTCTATAGACGGGGCTGGACCGGTCGATTAACAGTCACCTGATCGTAGATGTTACAGCGTTGATCTCAACGCCGATTGAATCCTGCGTAGGATCTAGCATTGATGCCTTGTTACTGTAACCAGCGCTGTAAAGTGTCAGTCATTCGATAGCAAATTGATAATCATTGCAGCCTCGAGACTCACTGTATCCTGTTTTTGAAGTTGTAAAATTAGAAGTCAAAAATGAATTATGTTCAGACTGAAATTTGATTTATATTCTTCAGAAATTGGACGTCGCTGAGCATGTGTTGGGCGCTCGGACCATGTGGGATCGGCCATGTTGTGTTGTGCTGTTGTACGCGCCAAAACGCGTCAACCACAAATGGCCAAGCGAGCGCCGAAACCTCAAACATCCACACCGCCAAAGTCACCACCAACCAAAATTCCCCCAATCGTGGACTTCATCTACCCGATAAAGAAGTTACTGCTAGCTACGCTATTTAGTTAGCCGATAGTACCCGATAAAAAAATTTGTTAGCTTCACCCCATCTACATGTACGCCTAAATGTTCGCCACATCTGTTGCGACTTCTTCCAAACCGCAAGCGCCAAATCCTCGATCCCGACGGCCCGCCCAGCAACCTACTTCCTCGTCGCAAGCCCCACAGGTTGGGACTATAGCCTCTATCGCTTCGCAAAAGCAGCCTCAGCGATCGCATTCGCCGTCCGGAGGTCCAGGTCCATCGTCTAGACCGATGCCTGCTGGTGCTTCTGCCGGTGCTCTATTTGGCCGGTCCACGATTGGAGGTGGTTCTGTCGGTGTTGGAACTGCGGGTGGTTCGCATCATCAGCCACATCAACATCAGTCAAATGGTGGGATATCAGCTCGAGAGTTGAGCGAAGAACAGAGAGAAGAAATCAATGAGGCTGTAAGTTTGTGCCGCTTTTCACAGAATCATGATCCTTTACATATATATGTGTGTGTGTATATACATATCTGTCCTATAAAAATATATTTCGTCGTATCCTGGAATCTCAAGTATGGATAAATTGACTAATATTGGACGTAATAGTTTGGACTCTTTGACATGGATAAAGATCAACGGATAGACTTTCATGAGCTCAAGGTGGCCCTGCGAGCTCTAGGTTTCGAAGACATCCCCAAATCCGAACTTCTCTCTATTCTGCATCGCTACCCTGCCCCTACATCAGGCAACTCCACACGGCTCCTGATCGGCCGGGAAGACTTCATTACTGTGGCTACACAAAAGATGCTAAGCCGAGACCCTCTAGAAGAAATCAGGAGGGCATATACGATGTTTGATGAAGACGGCAAGGGTGGCATTAGTATTGCTGACTTGAGGAGGATTGCTAAGGACATCGGAGAAAACTTGGAGGAAGAAGAAGTCAGGGCAATGATCGAGGAATTTGATCTGGATGGTGACGGATTGAGTAAGACCCAAAGTCCCTTCCTCCCTCCCTCCTTTGGAATAAACTTACTAATAATCTTGAAACCTAGTTAATGAGCAGGAGTTCATCGCAATTTGTCGTGGAGAGTAAACGGTTAATGCATGGCATCCTCTTGTAACAAACTCATCACCATATAACAGCATTTATGCACTGTCTCAACCACCCTCGACTTCGCATAATGTCCCCTCTCCTTAATCAACAACCCCATATGATTATAAACTCACATTCACATACATATACCCTTCTTGTTCGTTAGTCCCTTCTCCGTTCCTTAATATTGCCCTTTTTGAAATATTGGCACATTTGATAGCGAAGGCGTTCTTCTTTTTTTCCCTCTCCACTTGTCCGCCCTTTGTCACCGGACTTCCGTTCAACCTACATATTCCAATTTACAATCATCAGCCTCATCCATATCTCCATTTTATTCGTTTGGTCTGCAACCTTACGAGGAACCTGCGAGTGTTATTCATATGAAAAATAATATGTCCCCAAACACAGATTCCCTCGGTTGTTTGGGCTCTGTTCGGTTCGCGGCTTAAAAGACCGAGCTTCTAAACAAGGCCGATTTTGCGGGATCCGGGGAACATCATGATCGTTTGAAATCGAGTGTAACCGCTTGGGTGTTCATGCTTAGACATAAATCAAACGCACTCTGCCCAACTACCGACATGTGGCCACGAGACTAATTCAGGCAAGCTGCTATGCAGGGCCAGTGAACGGGACACCTCCGAGAACCCCATATTCTAATGCTCATGTGGGTCACCTAGCCGGAGTCCTCAAAGCCTTACGTCCTAACTAGGGCGCTGTGAAACTCCTCACCACCATCATGCAGGATTCTCAGAATCCGTGACAACGAGAATTGCCGACCCGTCATCTCAAGAATTCTGCAGGACCGAAGGGCATGAAGCTGCAGAATCGTGGCACAGGTTACCCATTGGGCTTCAATGCGATGCATGAACTAGCAACGCTCGAAGGGATACCCCAAGTATTTCCCGAGCAACCAAAACTCACATACGTATCTCCATACTTTCCTGGAGGAATACCATGTTGAAGAGGCTCGAGGGTCCCTTGCCCGCATGAAGCTATGCTGCAACCAAGCTGCAGCGCTGCAGCTCCGTCTATCCATGATATGGCCCGAATTTATCCCCATACTCCGCTTCCCTTTCCCCGCAAGGCAGGCATACGGCTGGCTACGCGGCATATCAGTGTCGGTTCTATTAAATGCTAAGCAATTTGCTTGATGATTAATTGATTAATTAATTCGCTACCGCTGCAGCTGGGGTACTGCAATAGCAGCTACTACATATAGCACTGCAATAGCCAGCCACCTATATGTATGTTACATGAAATTCTTCGAACGACCTCGCTACGAGCTCCAAATACGGATATCACGAATCCTCTGGGAAATGACGATACATATGCATCGGTACATTCTTCTTGTGTATGTACTTCACTATTTTGTATCATAGCAAGAAGACATGGGGCTCTCTTGTGCATGTGCGTCCCGTCCACATCGAATTACGTCTCATCTACCGCCCTACTACAGAAAACTAAATTGACCATGCCTTCGCCCCCGATACGCGGACAAATAATGTTGCGTTCATAGGCAAAATTTTGTCCAAACCAACAGGCCGATAGACGAGAAAGCCAGTGGATCACCTTGGCAAAAAGCGGTCAGTGCGAAGAAGGAGACTGGCAAACTGGTTGTTGTTTTTTTTGAACAAAGGGTCTGTGCTTCGCATCTTGTCGAGCCAGGTTGCGAAATCCACACTAGCAGCTCTAGCTACCCGAGAGCGGCATTTTCCATTGCATTCAAGAAGTCATTGTCACTCCGGTCACAGACCGGAATCCTTGATCATAACTTTAAAGAATCGAAGATTGGAGATAACCTGAAACCCCAAAGAAAGTTTCACGATCGATCAACTCATCTTCTTTTTCTCGATAAACTCCATGGATATCTCCACCAGACTAGGGTGCGCCTTGTTTTCTATTCCCCTCAATCATCTTGACACATCGGGCACACCGGTAGCACTAGGGGAACTTAAAGTCACTGTTACACGGCCCCCAAGAAATTATTCTGCGAGCCAGAACGGTGAGGCTGACAGCACGCTTGTAATGGGTACAGACGGTAGCGCTGAGGCCTGGGGATAACTACAAATAGCAAAAGAGGGTCTTACAAATTTGCGAAACTTACATTCACGCCCCCCGCGTTTTGACCATGTTTTGTGCAACTTTTTCGAGATGAAGGGAGGATAAAAAAGTGGCGTGATATCTGAATCCTCGGAGACATTCACCATCGATGTTGCTCACGGGATATGAAAGTTGAAAGGGCTTGTAGAAAAGAAAATGTACTTACAAAGTTTGCACGTTTGTACACAGTGTACAAATGCGGTATGGATATTTTGTACATCGAAGTACCTCTCGACTTCCAGCTTTTCCGAACCACGGAACACTCCATAAAACCTAAAGTTATGAGATTGCCAGCCACAATAAAAGCACGGACAATAATCCGAAATTCTATGAATCCACATTTCAAACGCCTAGTTGCGAATTCCCGACAGAGAGTGGAAAAGACCATCCCTTCGATATCAACATCTCGATCCGAATATCCATTCGGACATCTCCACTGCGATGCATCATGCACTGAACTTTAGCGCGTTGCCCAGTTCTTGTGTTGCAATTTGATCCAACAGGTTATTTTCATTTAGTTTGAACTGGGCAATCTAGACTTGCTTTTAGGCCAGGCCATGACCTACCCTACCCCAGCACCCAAGCCCAAGATCTATCGCTTGGATGAAATGGAAAAAAGACAGGTAGCGAGAAGGGAAAATGCGATTTTAGCAGGGTCAGTTCCAACAATTCTGTCCCATAACGATCTCCCCGCATTCCACAGACGAATCAGAGCTGGGGAACGGATTTATCTTTATCCGGAACTGGATTAAATAGGGACGTCTCTCCGTCAAACCTTGCATATGCAATCAACGGCTTTTGAAGCCGACGGTATCGATCGCGGATCGGTCGGAAAGACAGTGAAGCTCCTGTTGGAAGACAAATTTCCTTCATGCAGACAATTTTGATCGGGAGCAAGGATCAGCGACTTATCCTAGCATTCACTCTCCCAAAATGCCAACTTCTTGGTCATGGCTCAAAAATTAGGCTTTCCAGACGGTAGCCCAGATGGACCGGCCCTGTTTAAGTCGCCCTGCTTCCGCGAAAGTGTCAGTTTGCTGTACATGTGTGGGTGGGGAAACGCCGTAAATTCGTGCGACCTTTCCGAGAAAACGCTAGCCAGCATTTCTCCTGAGGTAAACCAATCGATACCTGGACAATTGATACACAAGCGACGGCAGGCTACGACAAGACAACTGGCCCCAAGCTTGAAAATCGATACAGAGAAGAACACCCTTTCGGTCGAGAGGGCGCTGGGATCCGTGTGATTCAGACTGGGGAGCTTTGACAGTTAACTAACCGGTCTTGTTTATTTCATCCCAAATGTTTCTCTTCGTTGAAGGATGGGGGCCGGGGATACCGCGAGGGAAGAATAGGAGGAAGTTAACGGCCTGGGTATACAAATGACGGTATACTTGCTTCTCAATTCACAACCCCATTATTGAAACGGACTTTAGGGAATTAAGGCATCATAAGGTGCAATTTTGGACCACATGTATGTATGTATGTAGTATGTATGTATGTATGTATAGTGCACACGGAATTGAGGTATTGATCAGAGTTTGGTGTCAGTCCGTGCTAAAAAATAGTAATCAAACCTAGTCTGCCAAACCATTCCTCGTCAAATCGAGGCAAGATACGTTACCATGATGTATCCCTCGCCCAATTGTGGGACCTCTGGTGGAGTCAAATCAGAAAGAAAGATAGTTACCGCGCCTCCAAGCATGCAAGTAGCTACCTAGGCGTATGGAACCCACTCGTATCAACATCCTGGCGTCTGCACCAATACGTAAGTACGTATCGATATCAGTACAGTGATGTATCAGAAATTTGCTCACCATAACTCTCTGGCCTTCAATCTACGGAACTGTATTTACACACGGTATGTATGAATTGGTTTTCAAAAGTTAACACAGCCAAGAGAAATCATTTGCCTCCTTACCCCCGCTTGGCATCATCCATCCAAAATGCACGTTGGAGTGAAAGTATCAAAAATTCAAGATTCAAAGTTTTGGATGAAATGTATCCGAGTCTGTTTCTTGGCATAACTTTCGATTCCACTCTTCCGAGTCACCGGCCGATACAAGTGAGCCAGAAATAAGCCCGCATTCGGATGTCAAACCGTGACCTAGGTCATAAAATAAACTTTGTGTACATGTAAACTTACGAAACTGGCACCTTATGCATGTGCAAGATGTGGTAGACGACTGCCCAACTGATTAGCAACAGTTAGCAAAGCCAGTTGGGGAATGGAGACATGGAATTGATATTCCGCCCGCACACCGCCAAGACAAGCCTTTCGTATCGAGGCTCCCATACGTCCATCATTTCCAAACAGGGCCTAACTTCTTGATCTGGCTTGTGCTACGGGATCGATCACGTTCCTTCTTTTCGACTCCCTTTCGCAATGGTGGAGGACCTGCACGCTCGAGCCCGTTGTTTCTCATGAAGAATGGCGAGAGAAATGCAGGCCTCACTTGTTGGCACTAGCTTTGACGCTAAAACGGCCTGCAAAACAGGTGCCCACATTTGAGCTGGTACATAACTATTCGTGTTAGTGCCTTACCATGTCCTACCGGGATGTTGTGATGTATCCTCGTAATTCCATGGGTCCGTTGTCATCAAACCGCGTAGATTAATCGATAAAGCAACAGCTCCCATGTCAAAATTGGGATCAACTTTCGGGTCAGCGGGGCCTTGCAAAGCCAATAGGAGTCGAATCATTAATTTCTCCAACGGAAGGGGAAAAAAAAAACAAGAGAACTTCGATAGTACTGAGAAGTGGAATCAAGAGTATTCCGGGCAGAAACATAAGGGCTGGGAGCTGAAAACCTCATGGCTTTCTCGGCCTTCTCCAAATTCCTCCTGCAGGCCTATGATCCGGGGGAACCGACGGGTCAAGGTTTCTCCCTTCTGCCAAGCCATATAGGAAAAGGTGGACGGCTCCTGAGTCAGTGTCCACTGACCTCCTCTCAAAGTACTCGCCTCGTTCAAGGCAGAAACTTTGTTAAGTCAACAACATAGTGGTCGGCATGTACTTCGGTGACGGTGCTCCTCGGAGCTACTTTGTTTCTCTCTCTCCCGCTTCGATAGGAACAGGAAGCCAAATCGAAGCTTTTTGACCTTCGAGAAGGAAGAAATCGGTTGGATTTGGAGCAAAACACGTCAACTAACTGTGAGACTTTAAAGCTTTTTGATGCAATAGGGTCCTGAAGTTGGCCGGAATGGGCACACAGGGACCGTTGCAATGAGCTTAGTTAGGACTCGTACGACAGGCTTTGTCGATCCAGGTCGACTGCAGGTTAGTCAACAAAAACAACACTAGCCAGATATCAAAGAAGCGTCCGGGGAAATTTAGAAAAATGATATCAAAAGAAAGTCGAACCAGAACTCATTAAATTCTCCAAGACCATCATAACTTTTTTGTTTTTTGAAATGTCGGTGCGCGCACTACCTCTCTACATGGTATGGTAAAACTCGTTAAACCAAAAAAAAAAATAACCGAAGAAGATTCGTAAGAAAACAGTAATGCGCCTGCCCCACTTCCATTTGAATACAGACACGACTCCAAGTACGCCTTGAATTTGAACGGAGGCAATGCGAAATATAAATGTAAATGAAACCGAAAAGACGAAAAGAGAATGGAAACCTCCCCGTGCGAAGTACATGAGCCCTAGAGTGAAAATAGGTAATATACTAGTAATCCAGAGAACGAACAGAAGGGCCCAGTGATTTTTTTGTGCTAAAGATGCAGCCGATGATGTACACATTTATTAAAAGATCGATATGAAGAAGCTTTGAAAAAAGCATATCAAGATATGCACAGAATGAAGTCTGACGAAAGCGTTTTGAAAGTTTACCGGTAAGCCGGCTGGGGTGATAGACTGATGGCAGTATGAATTGGTAGTAAAGCTATAATAAAATATCAGTATTGTTACTGGTAGATTCGTATGCCAGTACTGGGCTTACATGTAGGAGAGCCATTGTGCGTGTGGTGCTGCCAGATGTGATGCGAAATCCCTGAGCTTGGACTACGGTGGAGAGGGCTAAGAGAACGGGGCTGGGAACCACTGCCCAGCGGTGGTAAACCTCTAAGATTTTGCCTGGAATCCGATATCTGCAATGCGGCTGTGCCAGTTACAAGGTTGGCAGGAATGGTTGGGGTAGAGACTGGGGTGGGTAGAGAAGTGACTGCTTGGTATGGTGGGCTCTCACGCCATGCTAGAATCACTTGCTTGTCGAGATCTGCCGCCGGGCTCGATCCTTGGGATAATCTTAACGATGAGTTCGAGCCGGTACGGGATTGGGAGACTGACTCCATGTTATCTTCACGGGGGCTGTTGCCGGTCAGTGATAGCGACTGAACACTTGACTTGCTTGAAGATCTCCTGCTGGCTAATGCAGCAGCAGTTGCAGCAGCAGCCTCGCTAATAGTCCCAGTGTGATGATTTTGATGGCGAGTTAAAGTAGTACGCCTATGAGTTTAGCGTGAGTAAGTCTTTTTCTGGAAGGATTTGTAGGATTTTCTGTTTACCTTGTGAATGTCTTCTGGCAATCTGCGTATGGGCATTTGTAGGGCCTTTTGCCAGAGTGTATACGGCGATGGCGAGCGAGAGAGCTCGAGTCGCTAAAAGGCTGTAACGGTGAAAAGAAAACAAAATTATCAGTAAGATTGGGGAGCGAGAAGGCTGGTTGTGGGAAAGTATTTACCTTTCCACAGGCTTCGCACATATGTGGTTTCTCTCCAGTATGTACTCTTGCGTGGACCGTTAAAGCCGATCTCTGAATAAATTGTTTCCCACAACCTTCGAAATCACAAATATGTGGCCTGATGCCACTATGGATACGCTCTAATAAAAGCATTAGTAGTCTGCTTCTAAATACAAGCTTAGCATTTAGAACTAACCGTGGCGTGATAGGTCACTCCTGCGAGCAAAACCCTTCGAACATGTCTTGCAATGATATGGCTTCGTAGGATCATCGTTTCCATTATTCGAATGAGGCCCTTCCGAACTAGGACCAGGACTAGTTGCAAACGGATTAGAAGGGCTGGCTGCAGGCGGCGGAGAGTGCTGTGTCTCGTATGAATATCTTGGAGCAAAAGTTGCGTGTGGATATGTTGAAAACGAATTCGGAGCCATAGAGGGTAAGCGAACTGCATCTTGTTTCTCAAACCGTGCTTGACCGGTTTCCGGTTGTCTAGAAGTTGGGGAAACAGCATTGTCGCTGCTAGCACTAGCTTCCTTTTTGTTTAAGATGTTGACGATATCCATAGTGTCGATAATTTCCTCTCGATATAGGAAATAAATATGGGACTTATTGTGGAGATATTCGTGGAGGCGAAGTCCCACTATAGTACTAGCTCCTCTTTATAACCTCGGAAGCGAAAAGGCTTATGAATCGAGATCAAATAAGTAATTCTATAAGAACTTTCGACGTCACAAAACAGTGGTAGGAGGGCGAAGTTGTAGACTTTATAAGTTTTTAGTACATCCACAGGACGGAGAGGGAGAAGAAAGTTGTTTGGAAGAGGTCCTTAAATTGGAAAAGCTTTGAACCACGGCACTGGAACTTAGCTTATGCCTCGATAGTGCCAAATCTCAAGGCAGTACCTTAGCTCGGCTCCAGACGAGGGCTGCGGGATTACAGAAATTAGTTTTTGAGGGTGGTGGACCACTGAGACCCGACCTTTCCGTATGCAGACGCCCAACAAAGCAGTGTTTAGCGACTCGATTGGCGTTCGGGCGGCTGCAACTTACGGGAAACAATATGATTGTTACCTTGAAGAGGCCCTTGCGATGGAATGACGGTTCTTCCCTTAGTCAGTGGTACAGGTACAGATGGCCTGGGAAAGAATCGGATTTAGAAGTATTTCCCAAATGTTTTTCCGGTCTAGTTTTGTATTGAATCTGAAGGGTTCTTCTGCCAAGATCGAGAGGTGTTGCAGTTTTGAGTGTTGTCGTCTGGGAGTTCCGTATTGCCGTATTGAATGGGCCTGGTGGCAAGCGCAGCGCGGCCGACGTCAAGGTTTGAAAAATTGTCTTCTATGGGAAAACCCAGTGCTGTTTGTGTCAGTCAAAAACACCCAGATAGGATGAGGCATTGTTCACGGTGGGACTTTTCCGAGATTCCATTCAAATTAAATTGCGGAAAAAAAACCCAAGGCGACAACATAAAGCAATTGCATTAATTGCAACTGCAGTTGCAGTTGTAGTAACACTTCGGACGGGAGGAATAGTAATAATATGCCCGGTTAAGGGCAGAAGCGAAGGCAGCTGAGTCGGACGAGTTGCAACTTTCCGCTGTCAAAACAATGCAGCGTCTCAGCTAGTTTAAAAGCTAGCTTCCAAGGTATCAGAAAACTCGATTGACATCCGGACTACGATAGCTGGGTAGGCCTCGAGGATGCACGGCACTTATGGGGTAAAGTGTAATTCAACCCTCTCGCATAGCTTGTATCAAGAACTGCACATGGCAGAGCTAGAGGCTAGGACCTACCGCTGCCTTGAACTGGAACTGGAAAATGTCGCCTGCAGGCGCGCTCATGTCTGAACAAAGATGCAATGTGTGCTTGGGTACTGACCTTTATGTTGGCTTTAAAAAAGTAAGCTTTGTCTTCCTGCTGCAGTAACAGCCTATGCACTGTCCCGAAGATTCACCAACAGTCGATATTTCATACCATCGGATTATGTCTTGGTAATGTATTGTAAACCCCAATGTTCAAGCCTGGTTGCTTTGTTTGTGTGATTGTGACAAATGTCTCGGACGGAACGTTTGAAGAACCTTTTCGTTGAGGAGAGTATATGTTCAAAGTTCGATATCGGTTCAAGCGCAGAAGACGGCGCAAAGTTTGAGTTCTGCCGTGAGATTAAGCCGGGAGAGAGAGGCAGAGAGAGAGAGAGAGAAAAGAGAGGTAGAGAGAGTATGAGCTGAGTCGATCGCAGCAAGAATCGGGTTTCGGTTGATCTGGGGTTAAAAAAGTCGCCGTGCCTACTCCCTAAAGCTATGCTTTGTTCCCAGGATGTCGGATATGTAGACACTCCTAATTGTATCCCCGTGGCGTCTATAGACGCACTGTTGAATTTTTATGAAAAAGAAGAAGGAAAATATGTCAAGGCCGCTTTCAAAATCTTTCCACCCGGTCTTTCATATCTTTCTAGGTTTTTGTCAGGTAAGGATAACAAAAGATTTTTAATGTGAAAAGCTCGAGTTCAGTTGGTGTAAATTAGACTTTCGTCTCTATCAAAACATTAGATTATGGGGGAAATCTGTTTCCGAGACAAATCCGGCTTTGGAGGGCAAGTCGCTGCAGCGGAAGCACGTTTATATTTAGTTTCTCCCAATCAATCATTGCCAACTATCATGGAGACTGAAATATATCCGGCGGGGTGACAGCTATGGTCAAGCGACAGGTAGGTCACATTGGCAAATGCATCGAGACACTCATATGAGTTTCATCCAATGGGGAAGATTGGTAAAACCCATCGACCTGATGACAATGCAAGGAATATAATAAAATGTGAACTTAATGGTTGGCAAGGAAATTATTACTTACGGGTAAAATTTGCGAGTCCAAAGCCACAAAATTAAGCTCGATGTTTTAAATGACTCGAGTCGTGAAAGGGCGTATTCTCGGGTCGATGTGATGCAGATCTTTTGTCGTCGAAGGCCACTGTGGGAAACCACTTCTATATAGACCTTGTGCTAGAAGCCTTTTTTTATATATATAAAATAAAACCTGGAACCCTTGAGGAACCAGGTACTTCGAGGCTCTTTCTGAAATCCGGGGTGAGTACCTCCACCTCCCAATTCTCGCCCGGCATATACCAGAGGTTAAGACGTATTCAGAATGATGTTGTGTCTCCAATGATCAGACGGTCACTATTCGGAAAAGAAAACTGGTAGGACTGTGCCGTGCCCGTTTCAACGGATGCAAATTATAAGGGGAAAAACAAGGTCTCGAGGACAAGATCCTGTATGGGGGATCAATGCGTAGGCGGTAATTGAACTCCCAGACCCGTAAGTTGTGGTGGTGCGGGACTAAGTTTTAGGGCACGACCGGCAGTCGACTAGTTGCCTTGGGCGATGGAATGCCTTGCGGGTGGGGTGTGAATGTGTGTTCGAGGATACCGATATTGGGAACTTGAAACAATACATACAGAGACCGGTGCCAGTTTGATATCCCCAGATATATTGAGACTACCCTGTCGGTACGTAGATGCACCAGGCTCCAACCGAATCGAAACCGCGAAATGAGTACGTAGGTTGAAACAGGTAGAAAGGGAAACATAAAAGTAACTTGCAATGGTCCAAGATGAGGAATATGGAAAGGCGTGACGGGCAATTAACTGGCGAAATGTCGCAGCACTTGCAGCTACGCACGGACTGGAAAGCGATAAATCAGTGGTCACCCTTTCGGACTATTTCTTCGCCTCGCCAGATGCAGATGATAATTGACATAATAAAAGAAAAAAACAGCCAATTCTCTCGATCTTTGGGTTTCTATCCGAGGAAATAACTCGCCGGCAGGCTCGTTTGTATCTTTCTTTTGGCGGCTAAGCTATTTCGTCCCATCTGTGGAACTAAATCGCTCAAAGGAATGGAGATACTCGATGTAGTATCAGAAACTAAATCTTTTTTTGCTCAGGACTCGGGAGGGAGGAAATTGGTGTGATAGATCGAAGAAACGAGTTAGAAAAAAATCTGACCAGTAACATTTATTCAAAAGGTTCGAAAGCTTTTTCACTTGATAGCCAGCCAGCCCCGACGGCTTGGACCGAGATTATTCACATCCACGGCACATAAACACAGCTCCCAGGAATTATGCGCAGTGACCACCTCGACACTGGCCCAATACGGAAGCCGCAAAGGAACAGAGAAACCTCTTGGACTGAAGCTCTGCCCAGGATGGACCCAGAGAGGTTGGATACAAGTGCCCATGTTCGGCCGATGGATTGGGGGGCATGACCCGCTGCAGGTCTGAGTGGGACACTTGAAACCTATCACTCATTGGGGCAGAATGGAAAAGCTGACACATGAATTCAATAGCATAACAACGACTCGGCTTTGGGTCTCGAAATATTCCGCTCCACAATTGCAAAGTGCGATGCCAATGCAGCTAGCTAATATAATGAGCGGGGAAGTTACATGTACCAAGCTCACCTCAAACCGGGCTTGCCAATAGAACACTGTTTGGATAGGATGCTTCCATGGGTGGACTATGTAATCAACCCGCCGCACACATTTAATGTTTTTTTGCTTCTATTTACCCCAGAATGTCATCAGCAGGAAACCCCAACGTCGCTCCCAATGGTTTTTTATCGAATAATGAGAGCCATGGATGCCTTACAGAGGTACCGTATCATCATCTCATCGTCTAAAAAATAACTACTTCCCCTGTCAAAGCTGAATTTTCCCGATTTATCCGGGACGAATGGAGAAGCGGGTTTGCTTTTCGGCCAAGTTCAACCGGAGCGATACAGCTATGTCAGCAGGGATTTTTAAACTAAAATTTATAATTCCCTGCCGAAGGAAGGCGAGGTCTCGCAGCTATGAGTCGGTATGCATAATCAATACCCTTCCCCCAGATAAACCGGAGGTAATCCTTCCATCGGAGCGCCGGAGCGAGCAGGTTCGCCAGAGGGCAATCGTCCGGCATGTCGCATTGGCTAAATAGACCGTGGCAAATCAAAGAACGCCCGTGTAAGTTGACGCCAGATCGACTGAAATGTGATTTCAAGACCAACGCTATGATATAGGATCGATCCCCTTCAACTTCCAGTACCGTGGGGACCTCGCTCAACTAGCCAATAGGAGGCCCACAGTATGTGACTGATGTACTCAGAGCTACAGATATGATGTGTGAAATGAAACCGAAACAGCTTTTGCTCAAAATTACCATCCGGGGTTCGGACGAAATCGAAGGAGTTAGCGACCCAAGATGGTCCATGAACCGAGATTATCCAGGTCCCTTTGTATTGCATGTAAGCTACGAGGAAGATCCTCGAACGTGGCATCATGCTTTGCCGAATATAATCCTCGTGCCGATCATGGGACCCCATTATCCCACAGCTTCGGACCACCTTATGATCAATAATCCATTTGCCTTATGATGATGAGTTCCAAGGAATCACGGGAGGTCATCCTTGAAGCGAGGTAGCGAGCTCAAAAGACAAAGGGTGAATGAAGATAGTCACTGGTCAATGGATATATCCGCGTATAAACCCGGTTTTGCGTTCCAGCGTATACCCTTGGTTTATTTACCCGGTTCTCA